TATAGGAACACTTAACTGCTTTATCTATGTGGCAGTCTCTACGACCTGAACCCATTGATCATGGTCGTGAATCCTAGATGCAGATCCAGACACCCAATGTATACAAGAGTCAGTTGCTCACTCGGGGAGAATACCAGCAAGCACGTGTATATTTGGTTGAGAGCAAAAATATGAAGGAAAGACAGGAAAGACAGGAAAAGAGAGTGACACAGCTACACTAGCCAAGCCAGTAGGAGATATATATTGGTGTTTGACTCGGGTGCAAATTTGGATAGTTCCCGATCCAACCTTGGAAGTAGTTCTCGAGAATAGCTACGTTCGTTGAAGCCTCACCGAGAGGTTTACCACTATATAGCATGATATCCCCCAAAGAAGATAGCCCTGGGGAAGTAGGGTTGTTGTATTTCATCGAGAAAGATGGTAGAACTGGTTGACCAATCAAACGTGATTCCACCGCTACTTGGCATATGCATGTCTCGGGCTACCAGCCCGGGGGTACTCGAAAAAAAAGCTCCGGGATACCCGCCAAGCCTGCTTATATCATCGTCTAATATTGAGTACGTCCCAGGTCGTGGACCTTAGGGATACCCAAATTCATTTGATTATATAAAATACATTTAGTCCAATCATACCAACCCTTGGCGTAGCCCCATACTACACTAAAATACACCACAACTACTCAGTATATCTATACATATCCTAAATACTATAAAATATCTTTCATTTACTTACTTTTTAATATTGTTTCTATATCAATTCTACCCTATCAAACTATTTAACCTTTTCTTTTTCGCTTTTCTCCCTCTACGTCTATTCGATCGGCTTTAAATCTCGTATATATCTTTATTAAATTGTCTATTTATACTCTACTAATTTTTAGTATTTTCCGACCGTACGTTATAGTAGTATAAACGTTTCGGTTTTCTCTACCCTAGGGACGCCCCCGCTCCGGCGTTCGTTCGGGGGTTAGGCCGGTTATTAGGCGCCTAGTACGGCTATATTATAGGTTCTACTAGTAAGAAATAAAAGAGGCGGTATAATTAATTAGGAAGGCGGTAGTAAAAGGTATTAACACTTTTACGGAGTCACCTGATTATAGAGGGTAAAGAGGGTAAATAAAAGTCAGACGGAAAATTAAAAATTAGAAAAAGAAGACTATGGTTATATAATCAAATGAATTTGGGTATCCCTGAGGTCCACGACCTGGGACGTACTCAATATTAGACGATGATATAAGCAGGCTTGGCGGGTATCCCGGAGCTTTTTTTTCGAGTACCCCCGGGCTGGAACCCGCATGTCTCCAGTTATTGTGGCATGCAAATTTGCCCGATGCGATCTGAATTACGTTTTTCCGGGGTGTCCTTTTAGGCAGAAGCTTAGAATATGAAATTACAATATAGTACGATAGTTAAGTAGGGCTGTGAACTGATTAATTTTCCAAAGTTGGTACTTATCATGACCGTTCTAGGGTTATCTCCCAGGTTACGTAACATATAGAATTTGGCCCCATTTCCCCCAAGTTTCGAAGCCGGGAAGAGCGAGCGAGAACACGAGAACACGAGATAAGGACAATGTGATCAGGGTTGCCAAGAGTAGAATAAACATTACGGGTTACTTTGTACATTTGTGGTTTAGGGGCAACTCGCAAAATCAGTGAAATGTAATCTTGCCCGCGGGAAATGTGCACGGGTCCTCGGACTCACCGAACCTAAGTCGAATGGAATAACTCTGAATTAGGAGACAGAACCGGGGGACGTTCGAGGACCCGTTTAGGTAGTATGATCCAGTAGAATCCCAAACGAACAAAAAGAAGATCCCCAACTTGTATCCGGATGCGGGTTAAGTTACAGCCCGTGCGGGGACGATAGAAGACATTCCAAGCCAATCAGCCTTGGGAAGTTCACCAAATGAAACCCAAAAGGAAGCAAAATGATCAAAAATGACCAAAAATGATCAAAAGCCATCAACTGAACTGCGTCATACTGGTCTTGGTATGGCTTTTCTGTGGCTTCAATGGTTTACATGGGCGTACATGGGGGCTTATTGCGCTAATCTGGCTAATCTTGTCGCCAGGCAAATCTCTACCCTTTTAAGTTCTCTCTTTTACTCCCACGTTTTATTTTTTTTTTTGCCTTCTTTTCTTTAATAGATGATTTTGGCATCTTACATCTTACATCTTATGCTTTTCTGACTGCATTACTCCTTTTTACCTTCCAACTATCCTCTTGCTTTCGAAGATTCCAAAGTCGTACCTACGGAAATCCAACCCTAGAGACTCGAAATCTCCGACATTTGCTCTTGCCATTGCGCCTTGCCAACATCTCAACATCCATAGCAACAACATCATTGCCCACAACGTGATCGATTCCCAGGCCCTTGCAACATAGCCCGACATCCCACCTTTCTGTAGCAGATCCACCCCCGGATTATCCCGCCGATCTACCCCAACATTTTCAGAATCCATAACCTGGAATCTAGACGAATAAGCGACATCAGCCCATCCAGTTTCTTTCGATCGCGCCCTACCCACACTGTATTAGCCACTAAACATCCCAGACAGGAATGCCAACAAAATGGCTATCCTAAGCGACAAGGACAAGGACACGAGCGGCAGTGTGTCGGAAACACTCGGGCTCAAACATGAGAGCGGCTCTCGTGATGTACAAGAAGGTGTGATGGCTGAAAATGCCGACAGCCTTCAACGTCATCTTGGAAACCGTCAGATCCAGCTAATTGCCATTGGTGGCTCTATTGGAACGGCCCTTTTCGTGAGCATCGGCACGGGTCTTTACCATGGCGGACCCGGCAGCTTGTTTATTGCCTTTACCGTCCAATGCATGTTTTTGGCCATGGTAAATAACTGTCTGGCTGAAATGACCACTGCCTTCCCTGTCAGTGGTGGTTTCATTCGCTTGGCAGGAAAATGGGTCGACGACGCTCTTGGTTTCATGGTCGGCTGGAACTTTTTGTCCGTTCTCTTTTCGGCCCAGGCTGAAATCCTCCCCGTTATCCGTGCTAACACTCCGTTTTAGCTTCTATGAGGCCCTTTTGATTCCTTTTGAGATCTCAGCTTTCACGCTCGTCTTGTCTTTCTGGAGTGATAAGATTACTGAACCTGGTCCAGTTGCAGGTGTCTGCATTGGTGTCATCCTGGTCTATGGGTGAGAACCTCTTCCGCTCATTTAGGCCATTGGCGTGCACTTGAAATTTTATCCAAATACTGATTCTTGCATAGCTCCCTTAACGTCTTGGCTGTTAAAGCCTATGGTGAAGCCGAATTCTGGCTGTCCGGTGGAAAGGTCATTCTGATCTTCTCCTTGTTCTTTTTCACCTTCATCACTATGGTTGGTGGAAACCCGGCCCATGATGCTTATGGCTTCCGCCACTGGAACAATCCCGGCTCTTTCATGGAGTATCTGGATACCGGCGCCCTTGGTCGCTTTGAAGGCTTCCTGGGATCCCTTTGGTCGGCTTGCTTTGCTGTCGTCGGTCCGGAGTACATCTCCATGGTCGCAGCTGAAGCAAAGCGTCCTCGCGTCTATATCAAGAATGCGTTTAAGACAGTCTATATTCGATTTGGTCTCTTCTTTATCGGCGGTGCATTGGCCGTTGGTATCGTTTGTGCCGCTAATGATCCGCAACTAGTCGCAGTTGTGACGGGTGGTTCTTCTGGTTCTGCTTCGGCATCGCCATATGTTATTGGCATGCGAAACTTGGGCATTTCAATTTTCCCTTCGATCATCAACGCGTGAGTGAAAAAAAAAAAAAAAAAAAAAAAAGACAAAATCATAAGATTGGTGAACAGAAGACTGACAATACTATTTTTAGTCTCCTGCTAACTTCGATTTTCTCTGCTGGAAATACCTACACTTACTGCGCTATCCGTACTTTGTACGGCTTAGCACTAGAAGGAAGAGCCCCAAGAGTTCTCACTTACACCACGCGCAACGGTGTACCGATCTATTGCTTCGGAGTTGTGATGATCTTCCCTATGCTTTCCTTTTTGCAGTGTTCCAGTAGCTCGTCCATCGTCATCACCTGGTTTGCTAACCTAGTTACTGCTGGAGGTAAGAAATCACGATAAAATTTACCCGTGGACCCCATTACAATACTGACAACATAACCTAGGTCTCATCAATTATATTGTCATCACCCTGACGTACATTTTCTTCCACCGCGCGTGCAAAGCGCAGGGGTTCGACCGCAGAGCCTTGTCCTATTTTGGATACCTCCAACCCTACTGCGCCTACATTGCATTTGTTTGGATGATCATCGTGACCATCGTCTACGGCTACCCCGCATACAAGCCTTGGTCAGTGTCCACCTTCTGGTCGAACTACACCATGCAGATTGTCATCCCCCCTCTCTTCCTCATCTGGAAGATTATCAAGAAAACCAAGTTTGTGAAGGCTCATGAAGCCGACTTGGTCTGGGAACGACCCCTGATCGATGCGTACGAGGATAGCTTCCTTGATCCGCCTACTGGGTTCTGGCGAGAAATGTTGCAGTTGGTCGGCATTGGGCGCACCAAAGGCGGCAACGATAAGCGATCGAATACAGTGTCTCAGCCTCGGCAGTCTGCTAAGGGAGATTCGGCGTGAATGTAACTACGAGCAGTGTTGTATTCAATCCACATGTATGTTTAGTTAGGTGTATAGCTACCGTAAAGGTGTCAGCAAATGCTCTTACGGTACGACTTGAGAGCCATCTTGACACGGGAATTTATTTCCTGTTGCAGATTTGTCAATATGATACCCAGCCATTTTGGTCATTTCAACAATATTTTAGCGTAATCGGATTGAGAACGGGCACTGCCTTCTCTTGCTTGGTATTCCGGCAATATATATCATGCGTGAATAGATGAAAGAAATAATAAATGATATTGATTGATTGCAATTGAGAACTGCAGATAATCCTAAATACCTGTTGAGATGGATGTCTGAATAGTCACAAATCTCAACAATAATGAAGCGGAACAAATATATTGAGCAAACATGACTTCACCCACTTGTGGTCATGTTGGTCCATCTCGCCTTCAAACCATGTGCCGCCATCTTAGGCTTGCGATCCCTGGTAAACACACCCTTCTTATTACCATCCACCCGCATGGTACCCATAGAGGTCTGGAAGTCAGCAAAGTTCCAAACATGCTCACCAGCCATGGACTCGATGCTGTCAAAGACCCGGTGGTACATGGCGAGCATATCGTCCTGGAACTCCTCGCTCCAAGGGAGACCAAGAGTGGAATGAATACCGGCAATGGTATCAGCGCCGTACTCAGCCATGATGATTGGTTTGTTGAATTTCTTTTCCCAGCCTTGCAGCTCCTTGACAAGAGCAGGCTCTGCCTCCTCGAGGACTCCTGTTTCCGAGTACCACCCAAAGTACCGGTTCAGACAAGTGACGTCAAACAGATCTGAGATCAGATCCAACTCGAATGTTGCATCCCCGACGTTGGCAAAGGTAACAGGACGACTTGGATCAAGCTCGCGAGTCAACTTGACCAACGGCTCGAAGTACTCTCGCGCGCCTTCTTCTGCGGAGGCAGGCTCATTGGCAATCGACCACATAACAACACTGGCATGGTTCTTATCCCGGCTGATAAGTTCACTGATGGCTTGCTTGTGGGCTTTCTGGGTGTTGTTGTTGATGTTCTCCTCAGACCAGGTTTTTGGGACCTCGGACCCAGACACACCCAGTAAATTAATGTTCAGACCCACGGCGGGTGTTTCATCGATCACGACGATTCCCTGTCGGTCTGCAAAGTCCATGACTTCTTCGGCGTAAGGGTAGTGGGAGGTGCGGAAAGAGTTGGCGCCGATCCAGTCCATCAGTTGGAAATCGTGAACCATGTAGGCTTGGTCGTGTCCTTTGCCGCGAACTGAGGTGTCTTCGTGTTTTCCGAATCCGGTAAAGTAGAAGGGCTTGCCGTTGATGAGGAACTTCGACCCGTCGACCTTGACACTGCGAACACCAGTGGCCACGCTGTAGGTGTCGACCACCTTGTTGCGGCCATCTACAATGTTGGCCTGGAATTGGTAAAGGTAAGGCGCACCGGGTTGCCACAATTTGACCGAGTTGATCTTGACGGTACCCTGAGCTCCAGAGGCAGTTGCAACAACGACTCCATCCTCGTCGATAACGGAGATCTTGATAATCCCAGTTGAATTCTTGGCCGCCTTGATGTTATAATCGATGAGTCCAGTCTCACCATCGACATCAGTGACAACGGTGATGTCCTCGATATGTTGACGAGGCACAGAGTACAACCAAATGGAGCGAGAAAGACCAGCGTAGTTGTAAAAGTCGTGGTTGTAAGTCTGGACTCGCTTGCCGGTGGCCTCAGCGATCTCGATCTTTCCGGGTGGGATTGTCTCATGGTTAAGCTCGTTGTTGACACCAATTGTCAACCTGAATTTCTCTCCAGCAGTGACAAACTCGGTGATATCGGCTTCAAAAGGTGTGTAACCGCCGACGTGCTCGGCGAGTAGACGGTCATTCACATAGATACGACCGTGATGAGTAGCAGATTCAGCTCGCACGAAATACTGCTCCCTCGACCAGCCCTTTGGGACGAAAACCTCGCGCTGGTAGTAAACCCATCCGACATGGTCGTGGATGTCCCGGTCGACGAATATATCGTTGTAAGACGCCGGGACCGGACATTCGAGAGCACCGCTGGGGAATGGCGCGGTCCAGGGCTGGGTCGTGTCGTTGGCACCGGAAGCAAGTGTGAATTTCCACAGACCATCAAGGTTCACAAGCTCACGGGAGGAAGTTCGCTGGGGCTTTAGCTTGATCAAGGGCTGCTCAGCCTGAGATAAGTCATTGCGAGGGTGCTTGCTCGCTGTAGGAACAGCAAACGAAGAAGGAACAAGGGACAGCAATGACAATCCCGCTAGGAACTTCATGGCGACGGAATATCGTACGTTATTGACTGAGGCGCGCAACAGTCACCTGTGATACAAATTCCGTTCTGAGCTGATTGAAACATAGTAGCCAGCAAGTTCATCAGATATATATATCACTTTTCTAGTCAGTATACCGGCTATTGAGATCCAAGCTACCTCCATATCGGTGATTGATTAGCTTGGCATGTCGACGGTCAACTATGAGGTAATTCATATAGTATGTCATGCATGTCGATATTGGTATTTGACATTTTGCCAAGATATTAAGTCTGGGGCCCCGGGATATGTACTGCTTTTCGCGGGGGTGGGCCGGCAGTTCGGCACCTACATGTGCGCACATACCTTATGCGTCGGCAATTCGTCACGTTTTCCCCCGCATCGGGTATTGATTTAATAACATACTTATAGGTCAGAACATGTGGACGTGGAGGTTTTAACCCTATTGTGGTGAAGCATAGCGACTAGATAACTTTAAGCAGTGGGACGGCTTCCTGATTGACCCTTAGTGACCTTATAAAGTTCCTGACTATACCTGTAAGATGCAATATATGATTTGCTGGAGTCCGAGCTCGGCAGTGACACACGGCATTGGAATGATTCCGAGGTAGTTGGGGTTCTCATAGTTAACTATAAATATGTTGCTGGGTTCCTACAGTGCAATTGAGAAAAAGATGGCCATCTAGTCGACGGGGTTCCATTGTATGCAACGTTGGAAATGAAGCTGAGTTGTGAATGCTGAATTGATCTGTATGCCATTGAGCACACTGTCTTGAGCCTTCCTTTCTTGACTATCTAGAATCTATGCACACAAAAGTTTCAGGACGGAAAATGGACAAAAGCATTGGAGTTATACACAAGCTTCCCCAGGCCCCTTCTAGTCGTGGACCTGTGGGAGGGCAAACAGGTTGTGGCGCCGATGTCGCCTCCATTGGCCTCCCTCAGAGTAGTTCCATTGCCTAGATATGAGAAGCGGTTGATCTTTGCTTCAGGCGTCCGATCCATTTTGAAGTCCTCCCAGCGCGGGTTCTTCATAGCTTCCAAAAGGTGGAAGATAGATAGATCTGTTGTAGATGGCGATAACCGGGCCATCGATGGTACCACGTTTATACCAACTGCGGCAATCTCGAGTCCAAACTGTACGTTCAAGGTACTTCTGGATGTGCTGATTGTACTCTTCGCTGACTTCGTCGTCGACCTCGAAGCTGCGAATACCTTCTGTTTGCATCTTTTCCATCCATTTGTAGATAAAGGTGGCAGTTCCTTGAATGCCGAGAATCGGCGACCCATTTGCCAGCGGTGAATTGGGTCCCACGAAGCCTAAAGATGTCAGTAAAAAGGAACCACGGTGGAAGGGAGAAATAAAAAAGGGAAAGTCTTACAGAATAGACCTTCGGAAGAGATCTTGAGCTTGTCGCTCAGAAAAATAACCTTGGACAACATAGTATTACAGATCGGTAGGAATGAAAATGAAGCTTTTCGTCCCCATACAAATGGCGACATCTCCATCTTTTTGATCGGTTTACAACAATACTGCCGCTCCCCAGAAATGAAAGAGCGTACATATGTACATATTAAGAAAGAAACTACAAAAGAATACCCTTCTCCCGAGGACGGCCACGTCTGGTAAATGAGCACATGAGCCTCATATTTCTGTTGCTGAATTATTATAGCATTAACAGCCCATTCCGAAGTATAACTGACTGGATATGGCCAGTATCAGAAAATCATACAACGAGACATGTCCGTAGATGGAATGGAGATTGATGAGATATGTATTCCAGCTCTAGAAATTGGATATAATCTAACAAAGTATTACATTAACATGAAAAATAAGTGTTTATTGGTATTGTTAGGTTGGGCGGATAAAACACAATCATGACAAGACGACTAAAGCGGGGCAACAATACACTCCAAGCAACACAGAAGAAAAGGAAAGAGACAAAAGATGAGGAGTGCGTTCCGGCACAAGCAACATCCCGGCAAAGCAATGACAAGTTTGTCAGTCTCTCAAGGAACTCCAGGTGCTGGTGGCGGGAAAACAAGTTTTCCTCCCACCGCGGGGTACAAAGGGCCATGTGTCTGGGCAAAAACAGTCAATGGGGGAACACGATTCTGTAGTGATGGATTATGCGGTCCAGGGTTGGTAGCAAGATTCAGATCTGGTAGGGGGAAGTTCATGTCTCGTGGTTGAGACATATACCTCACGGATGCCATTGGGTACACTTGCCACGTATAACGAATCTGACACAATTGGACCGTCTAGTCGGGGGGCTGCACCGGGTGCCCAAGCTCCTGGGGTGAGATTGCAAAAGGTTCTAGTCCAAGCGAACATTCTTTGACGATTGTCATCAAGGAGTGTGACTTCTACCTCAATCACTGACCTGGTTACCTCGCCATTAGCAGTAACCATTCTTGCCAAGCCGACGACCGGTACTCTGTGCCCAAGAGCCATGCTAAAAGGACCAAGAAGCACACTAAGATCGCTTTGGAACATGGTCATTTTACTGCACCCAGTATCGTGGACAAATTCCAACTCGGCAAACCACGCTATTCTTGGAAGGCGGATAGCTAATATCACCTAGATAAAAAGGTTAACAAAGCTTGGAAGTGAGTTGAGCCATAATTATAGATCTTACGCCAATCAGAGATCGAGATGTTGAATGTGGCGTTAGAGTCACCGCTGAAAGGGATCTCTCATTCTCAAGGCCGCAGATCTGATATTATTCATTAGCTAGTCGCTGTGAAACGGTAGGAAACCAATTACCCCTTCCACCCAAAACCCTTTGTCACCCTCGTGGTGGGCATTAATCGTTTCAAGTTCATCCCAGTCAAATGGTCTTGGTTGAGAGATCTGAGCTCCCTTCATCCAATATGTAACAAGACCGGCATTCCAATCAAGCGCGCCTGATTTATATGCTTTCAAGAGAGCCTCGATGTTTTGAAGCTGCTCTTCGTCATCCGTAGTGCTCTCCAGATCTGTCTTCATCATTTGCAATTCATACACCCGTTGAACGGTCTCCCAGCTGAGCTCTTCAGACCCCGGGAACCTCATCCCCCTACAGTATAACAAGGTGAGAATCGGTGCAGAATTAATATCAAGATAGTTGACTCACTCCTTTTTGGCTTTTGCAGCTGTATAGGCCTCTAACCTTTGCTCAAAAACATGGGGCATTATGTTTTCAGCAATTCTCTCATGACATCTTTCGATTTGACCATCAATATCGCTATTAAATTCTAATTAGCTTGTTGTTTGCACACCGACAATTAACTTTTATGTCGTCTCACGTAGTTTCAAGATCGTCTTCATTCATATGCCACCCGCGAGGAAGCTCAGCTGGGTCGGTAATGGGGTCGGTTCCTGTCCGTTTGGCCCATGGTCTGTTTTTCTTTGTCTTCTTCTGCCTAGGTGGCACGACAGCAGCGTAGGTTCTATCAAGGTCTATTTCGTCTATCTTGAGATCCATGCGTGGGGTTGGATCTTGTGGCGAACCCTTTTGCTCGTGGGGAGGTAGTCGCTTCACGCGAGTACTACGTCGAAAGTCGTACCGGGCAGACATGTTGAAGGTAATATTGAAGTTGAGTCTCACAAATTGAAAATGTCTCGATGGGAATGGGCAACCCAGTCGGAGATATAAATATATCAAGACCTGAAGGAATAGAACCAAGCTAAGGAGGAAAATAAAGAAATGCTTTAGAGAATGAGAGAAAACGTACACTTGGGATGGAGTGGATTTGGGCTTAAGGCTTCAAAGACACGGTATAGCTATAACAAAGAATATATCCTCGCGGCTGTAAGCCACAAGACTCGTTTCTTACAACTATATTTCTCTATACGGTCTTCGCTCTCTTTCATTGTGGAGAAACTAGAATGAATGATAGGAAGGCTTTGATGCTCAGCGCGAGGATGCTTTCCCCAACGTCAAAGAACAAAATTAATAGCATCATAGAAAGAAAATTTGAGAAATATGTATATTTAGACCAGTGGAGCGAGTAAAGGTATGGTTGACTATGTTTCTATTTTTGACAACCACGAAATGGGATCGGAGTTCGAGTTTCTTTGACCCAGGTAGACAAATTTCGAGATCAAGGCCGAGTAGAGTGATAGGAATCCAGATATTTCTTTTATTAAAAATGAAAAGTCGTTTCTTTATCTCGTCCTCAAGTACAAATAAAGACGGTCATCACGTGACGGGGAATTCGTGGACCCGTGTGACCTCGATCCCTGAGCTCTTTTATTATTGTAGAATCTACTGAGGGAATGCAGATGGAGAAACCATGCAACTAGATTCTTGATGTAGAAAGTGGACGGGGAGAGAGAAGAGAGAAGGAGAGAGAGAGAGACAAGCTATCTACATGTGTCCCATGTGGTCCCTGGGCCTCAGGCATCCAGGCACCCAACAATTATCAAGTCACTTTTCGAACTCCCCTCTCAATGCAACTGGGATCTTTTCCATGCTTCACCTTGTCTTTCGACATCCTCTCCATCCGGTCAGATGCGAAACGCAGTGTGATGATTTCATCGGACGGGAAGGAGCCGTTTGACTGACTCGTTCCTCCAATCTTCAGACCAGATATCTTGCAGTCGCTCCGCGCCTATTTACTGCACCGAACGTGCGCATGTTTACCTTGAATATCTTCTCATAAGGCCTAGTCGAGCGTCGATGTCCATTTATGACGGAAACATCCCAATGTAGCTCGGTAATGAGAATTTTTGATACTTTGGCTACTTGACCTACTTTTAAATTCACATGTTAAAATATGTGACTGGTCAAGGCTGCGCGGTCCCTCAGTCTAAGTGACAAAGCCTCCTGACAATCCATATTATTCCTCTCGATCCGTACTGCCCTCTCTATAGAATCGGAAAACAAAATTAGAAGGATCAAGTTATTTATCTACGAGGCAAGTTGCATTATAACTCAGAACTCTGCCTGCTTTATGGAACAATGAATGCAAATACTACCTACGATGACGTTTTTACTCTCTAGACTTTTATACCACATTTGTTATTGCTATGGCATACCCTGATATGCAGAATTATGGATATATACTCCACGGTAGCCTTTTGCGGGGTTGTCACTTGCATCATATCACGCGATGTCAGCATTTCAATACCTTCCCCAACCATTGGCAAGGGGACGGTATTATTGTTAGAAATAGCACGTCAGATTTGGTCAGTTGTCGAGTTACGGTGTTAAATTTGTCGTTCTATAGGACGGATATCACGGCATTAATGTTGGTGTGTTCTGTGTACCCGACCTTTTCACTCGATGGCTTGCGACAGTCGCTTGTTGTGTCAGACACGGAGGAGTCCATACGCGATTCTCCAATAAAATGGCGCGAGGTAAATAAAAATTCAGAATCGTTGTTATTTAAGTACTGACTGCACAGAAGTAATTGCTCAAACTTGATAACGAGACAACTTACCAATATCTCAGCACAACATGGCACCATCTATTGCCCAAACCCCCACTGTGGACGTGGTTGTCCCTGTGAAGGCCGCTTCTGGAACAACCGAGGCCAAGGCCAGAGTGAGAAGAATCGTTGACGAGGAAGGGGAAACCACTACTGCCAGCGTAGGTCAAGGTCATGGCTAGGCCTTTGAGTCACTCCACATATCCTGACAACGATGCAGTATCCGAACTACCTGCCTGTATACGACTATGGCAATAAATACCCTCCTCTTGAACCCTTCACCCACGTCGACCACGGGAAAGACGCCTACCCCTCCTTCAAGGATCTCCTCACTAAGGGGTCCAAGATCCAAAAGTTGACTCCGACTACTGGGTCTGAGGTTACAGGCGTTTAGCTAAACAAGCTCACTGCTGCCGGAAAGGATCTGCTCGCTCTGCTCGTCGCCCGACGTAAAGTTGTCGCCTTCAGAGATCAAGATCTCACCGACCTGCCAATCCAAGAGGCCCTCGGTTTTGGAGGCTACTTTGGCCGCCATCATATCCACCCAACTAGTGGAGCTCCAGAGGGATATCCTGAGATTCATCTCGTTCACCGGAACAACAATGCGTGAGAATATGATGAATATCTCGCGACAAAGAACAGCAGTGTCTCATGGCATTCCGACGTTACATATGAGCAACAACCACCTGGTACCACCTTCCTATATGTACTTGATAGCCCTGAAGTAGGTGGGGACACTGCCTTCGTCAACCGAGTTGAGGCCTATAACCGACTTTCGCCAGCGCTCAAGGAGCGTCTTCACGGTTTGAAGGCTGTGCATTCCGGATTTGAGCAGGCTGAGTTTAGTCTGAAACGTGGTGGGGTTGATAGTGAAAACCGAGCATCCTCTTATTCGAACCCATCCGGTCACTGGCGAGAAAGCGCTTTTCGTCAATGGTGGCTGTAAGTATCTTCCCATATTCTTGGAAATGGGGTGTCAGTGCTCACACCAAGACTAGTCACTCGCAGTATTGTCGGACTCAAAAAAGAAGAGAGCGATGCGCTTCTAGGGTTCCTACTGGCCCACGTGGGTCATGGCATCGACTATCAAGCTCGTATTCGATGGGCGCCAAAGACTGTTGTTGTCTGGGATGTGAGTGGTTTCATGAACTATTGATCAACGGTTCAAGATACTAATGTGTATGCAATATAGAACCGTGTCACAGCCCATTCTGCGATTCTTGACTGGACGACTGGGGAGCGTCGCCACTTGGCGCGAATTACTCCCCAGGCTGAACGCCCTTATGAGACACCTTACGTTCCAAAGGAGGGTAAATTCAAGGCTTAAGATTCTATTAGATAGATGTTCAAATACTTCTACCTTCGGGCTCAACGGGCCACTAGGCTCTTAATAGTGCCCAATAGGCACCAAACAATACAAATAGACTTCCGCAAAGCCCAAATTTGGGTCTACATCTCAGGTCCAAGCCCCAAGCCCCATCGTCAATTTTCACAGAGCCGTGATATTCTAGATATTCCGGAGATGAGAGAGGTTTGAAGATACATACCTAGGTATCTTATGAGCTATTGGCATGAAATGTTTGATGCAAATTGTAAAATGGGCGGGGAGATGGGTTATCTATGGGCTTCCTTGGGCTTTGGATGGGCCAAATCCACTGAATATGCATTATCTAACCAATGAGATGCTGGTATTATGACCCTCCGTTTCAATGTCGACTGGCACTATGGAGTATGATCCTCCGTTTACATCCTCTGTTTGCCTACAGCGTCCACAGTTCTCTCACCAAGAAGGTAGGTCAATTCTTCCTCCCTGACCCTGATTCCCCAGAAGCCATCCATTTAACTTCGAATCCATTAACCGTCACTGATCATGTCGCAAAGTCGGGAGTTTAGATCCTCCAAGTTGAGTCTATTCGACTCTGGGCCAAACGGCTTGTCCTTTGCTGCGCCTTCTATTCGCCCAGCTATCCCGTCTACCTCTCGGCAGGTTAACAACCTCTCGTTTGTTCGGCCGTCTAATCCTTCGTCTGCCGCCCCAGATCCCCTTGAACGCTTCCAACGTGTCGGTCCTGGCAAAGGCCAGTATTTCCTTTACGACGCGATGCTCCGCAACGATTGGGTCGACTGGTGGCTGCAGACTGACTACGGATCTCGGAGCAAGATCAACTGGGACTTGCAGAATAGCCGGGCGAAGATCTGGAAGGAGTTTGACCAAGTCGCGCACTCTATTCATGGTACCGCAAAGGTCATGTGTAAGAACTGCTCTGCAATTCTTGAGCACCCTTACACAACTAGTAGGGATGGTCGTCATGGTACCACAACGATGATTCGCCATGTCAATACTGCTTCCTGTCAAAGGACTGCAAGTGGACGCAGGCAGAGGGATGGAATGAAGAGGTTTCTTCAAACGGTATGTAAAGATGTATCTTATCTTTTAAGAATCAACACTACTAACTAGCATTTTAACTAGGGTGACACGACCAAAGAACCTTTCTCGCAAGAGGCATGGGATAATAAACTCCTACGATTCATCACACTCAACCAGCTTCCGTTCAATCTCGTTGAGAATCCAGCCTTCCGTAGCCTCATTTCGACAGCCCAATCCGCCCCAAGCCCTCCGAAAATTCCTTCCGCTGATATAGTTCGACGTCGGCTATTTGCTATTGTCAAAGATCGACAACAAGATACACTCAGGATGCTTCCAGAGCATGCGAAGATCTCGGTTGCATTAGACTGTTGGACATCTCCATTTGGAGACGTATTTATGGCTATCACTGGCTATTTCATCGACGTCGACTGGGTCTACCGCGAGGTGCTGCTCGGCTTCAAACCCCTTCATGGGACGCATTCGGGTGCAAACCTTGGTAATGTGCTTATGAACACGCTTACTGAGTGCGGCATTCAGCACCGAGTCTTTGGATTGACCACTGGCAACGCATCAAATAACAAGACTCTGGTTGATGCTCTTCAACAGTGTTTGCCTAATGATATCAATGTTATCCGAATCCCCCATCTTTCCCATGTGCTCCAATTGAGTTTGAACCAACTGCTTGCGCGTTTAAAAGCAGTCCCACTGAATGATGCCACTGAGATATGGACAGACAGTCAACTCATCCTTGCAAAGGTAAACGCGGCATCTAAGAAGCAAGATATGTCGCATACCTTAAAGAAGGTACGGTATCTTGCTCTTTATATCCGCGGGAGCTCTCAGCGTCGGGACTCCTTTATTGCCATACAACCCCCAGGGCAAGGACTTATGCCGATCCAGGATGTCAGAACTCGATGGAATTCAACGTTTTTAATGCTACGCCGGGCAAAGAGACTCCGCGTCTTCATCATGAAGTACTGTGAGCAGTCTGACTGCAAAGACTTCGCGCTTAATGATGATCAATGGCGCCAAATTGACTACCTTCTATATATCACTGAGCCGTTCTCTGATTTTATCCTTGCCATTTCAAGGAGCCGAGAGGTGACATCGCATCTTGTCTTTCCAATCTACAATAGGTTGTTTGAGCATCTTGAGAAGTCAATGACGCAGCTACGGCGCAAAAAGGTCCTTTGGAAACAGCAGATGCTTAGCTCTCTCGAAGCTAGCCATGCTAAATTACGTCACTACTACAAAGAGATTGATGAAATGCGCGGACATATCTATGCGGTTTGTACGATGCTATCGCCAGATAGTAGATTTCAGTTATTCCTTTCTGATGACTGGGTGGATTCCAAAGAACTCCGTGATCAGTATCGAGTGGCGTTCCGAGATGCCCTCACTCCTATCCAGGAACGTCTCACTAGTGCCCAAGGCCCACAGGGGCCTTCCTCGGAATCGGCATTGACATCACTACTTCGTAAGGCTGGAAAACTGAAGCCTCACTCCAAATCAAAGCTGGGCCCAGTCATGGATGACGAGATGACGCGGTACCTCGACGGTAGTAAGTTGAACCCTTCCATTCATATCATGGCCATCTCCATGTCTATCTCTATAGCCATCCATCCACTTGATACTAATTTCATATAGATGTGACTGATTCAGAACCGCTCTCCTTTTGGAGAGAGAATCAATCCCGTTTTCCAGCCATTGCTGCACTTGCAAGGGATGTCCTTGCAATCCCCGCAACGGGCGCTGGGGTAGAACGTCTCTTCAACACTGCACGAGATATCTGCCGCGATCGCCAACTGAATTCTGATGATATTGAAGAGCTGATGCTATTCCACTGCACATCAAAGTTTGACCTTGATGCCCAGGTGGCAAAAGAGGTAGCAGAAGACCTGTCATCTGATGAGATTGACATGTTGAGAGAACAAAGTGTTGAGAAACCGAATGATTTCGATGCTGAAGAGATCAGTGACACCGAAGAGCAGGGTGATGGACCTGGTTCTGGGTCTGGGGATCTGATCGAACTTGACGATGACGATGACGATGACGATGGGGTTGACCATGGCGATGCTACTATCAGATTTACTGCTGCCCCGTCTCAGGCATGGACATCGGGGAGGAAGAGGAAGCATGTTGAGGATGATTTGTACGAACGTTATTAGATTCATGTAGATGGTTTAACCTCTACTGATATCTAACTCATCTATCTCATTAGTTGATCTTATCAATCTCATTAAACAGTGAATTCATCGATTCTCACGAGAAACTCAGTCAACTGGGGGCCTCAGACGGTAACTTAAATACCCGGCGTCAATGATGCCTGAATGCCTGAGTCTTGCCTTATTCCTGCCTGAATATAGACCGCTTCCAGGCATCGCTTTATTCGGACCGGAATAACACGGCCCGATGGATATGTTCAAATGAAGCTTTTTACGCTAGTATAGCCCCTGTAACTTTTGTAAAAAATGTAAGGGCCGGTAATAACTTGATTTATCACTACAATTTATGGAGGTTTGTATATTTAGGGAATTAAATGTGCAAAACCCTGAGATTACCTAGGCTAAAGTTGGCCTGGGGAATTATTGATGTTGGGGGTTAACCACGTGATGATAACGACCATGCACGTGATTCTGCATTCAATCGCGGAAAATCGTATCGCCGAAAAAAAGTGTCCAGACTCGTGCTTCGCGATCCCAATCTTCATCAAAACACCACGCAAATATGGAGGGTAAAGCTCAGGCTCGGTATGGTCCTACAGAAGGAGAGGAGCAAAGTGTCCCTGTTCTCACCACCAAGAAGGCTGTCAGTTCCTGGGTACACCTTCTTGCGGGCGCGTATGTCTTCTCCAGCTACCATCATCTTTGATTCTTCTGACATTGATCCAGGAGCGGCGGAATGGCTACTGCGATAGTAACTTCGCCTCTTGATGTCTTACGAACACGTCTTCAGTCCGACTTTTACCAACCACAAAATAGGGGCTCCGATGCCTCCTCACGCCCTGTTCAACGATCAAATCATAAAACGCTCCGGATTATCAACTCCATCTATCGTGCTGAAGGATGGCGGGCTTTCTTTCGAGGCCTCGGTCCAAGCATGGCGGGTGTAGTCCCGGCGACCGCGATCAAGTTTTACGTATATGGCAATTGCAAACGCGTTGGGGCTCAACTCATGGGACACACGGAAGACTCCGCTATGGTCCACGCTCAAGCCGCAATCTGCGCAGGTCTCGCAACTTCTACGGCAACGAATCCAATATGGCTTGTCAAAACACGACTACAACTTGACAAAACACAAACAAACACCGGTGGTCCTTCGGCTCGTCGATATCGCAATAGCATTGATTGCATCCGGCAAGTCATGCGGACTGAGGGGCTAGGTGGCTTTTACAGAGGATTGAGCGCCAGCTATCTGGGCTCGATTGAGACGGCTCTACACCTGGTGCTCTATGAACAGTTGAAAACTCGGCTCAATCAATCATTAGAAGCTACCGAGGGACCACGGACTCCCTTCTGGAACGAAGTTTTCCATTGGGTTAGTACTAGTGGTGCCGCGTCTTCCGCTAAGCTGGTGGCAGGTCTAATGACATATCCTCATGAGGTGCGCCACTCTTAAGGCAATTGTTTTGGTCTCACACTCACACTTGAATTCTTAGGTTATCCGAACACGATTACGCCAGGCACCTGTGGAACATGGCCAGCCCAAATACACCGGCCTAGTACAATGCTTCCGTACTATCGCCAAAGAAGAAGGTATGGCGGGCCTGTATGGAGGCCTCGCTCCCCACATGCTCCGTTCTTTGCCCTCAGCTATCATCACGCTTGGCGTATATGAATTTGTGCTGAGGGTTACTGGTGCTTAGGTCAAAGCACAACTCTGTACACTACCGATAGATCTAGTTCTTTTTCTTGGGAGGGAGATCATTAGACATTCTTGTATCATATTCCTGTATTATATTTGGCGTGGCTTATCTCAATTACATAATCTCATCTTTCACAGCCCCGGGGGGTTGCGTTACTTTAGAATATTCCATCTTATTGATAAATTTCATTCTCATTCCAATACCTCCTTCATTGTGTTCAGAACCGCTCTTCTCCCGAGGACTGATTATTATTGTAGCGTTAGTAGAGGCTCAGTTTGCCCTACTACGCCTCGGAGCACCCGTAAAGCCATGTTTAAGGGGATTTGAGGCGCTTTTCCGTTCTGGATCTATCGAGTTCGATGACGAAGACAAGTCTCGGTATTCCAACATCTTCCGATCCTTTCCTCTCACGATTATTGACTATTCACATTCACCTTGATCGTCCGGCAGCAAAGGCCCACGCGTTGTTGGTCAACTACGGCGCCAGTGATGAAGCATGTTTGGATGTGATTTTTGGTGTTGTCCAACCTGAAGGGAAACTTCCTTTCGATTTGTCCTCGCTGGAGGAAGCCGTGCGGTCCTCTCGCTCTGATATGTCTTTTGACACGAGAAGTCCGACCTCCCCCTTTGGAGATGAACTACAATACGGATCTTGCTCTATAGATATATAATTTTAGAATGCTATGTGGACATAGTTTGTAGGAAGTTTCATGCTGTTGGCCTAAGGCCAGGATTCACCACTCTATCTCTACCGTCTGCGCCATAACTCCTAATATGGTCAAATGGCGCGAGGTTCTAAGCCACCCGAATAATCCGATGACCATACAATTATAAAGAAAGACCGCTCGACGTAAATGTCCTAGCTACCTTCCCGAATTGTACCATTGCGAGGATTAGGCCCCTGTCGGGGTCTTGTCGTATCGGGAGCTTCTTCGGACGTTCCGTAGGAAGAGTCCTAACAACAGTAAGGATTCCAATATATACGCGCACAATAATCAGAATCAGTGATATATTTTGACAAAATATGAAATAACAAAATGGACAGCCAGGGGAGACAAACCTAACTACCTCAAGAATTGAACCACATCTTAGCAATTCGCCACCCCTGTCCGTAGTGGACATCAATATAATACCTCCAGGAACTCATCCCAACATGAATAGCCTGACATTCCCAGTCAAGGGTGACTGACGCGTAAGGATGTAAACTGAGTCTATCTACGATATCCTCAATAAGTAGGCCCCCAACAACAATCTCACAAAAGGAGAGCAATGAAAGGATGGCAATTGGTCCTGGATCTCCCCATCGTAGATCGCTAAGAGGCGAACTATTGCCTCTCTCGAAAAGTCCAACGGTCATCATAAAGACAGGGGCAAGGGCCGCAAATGTCAACGTCGAGAAAATAAACCAGACAGCGAATACTGAGTATGGATGCTCACCGGTGAATTGATACAGAGGATCAACGAACAGCCAATTGCGAGAGCAGATCTCTGTCGCTGAGCAAGTCGAGGCTCCGGGCGCAGCGTTGATTTGAGACTGCACGCAATCGTAACTTGGATTTGGCGCACGTTGGCCCCATACAGAAGAACCAAGTAAATCGATGGGAAAATTGACATGCGCCACGTAGCACGAAGCAATATACTGTATCACCGCTAGGATGTAGAAGATCCACCGTGTAACCAGCTGCCCACGACGGTTTTTCCCAAATGCGCATGAAAATGGATGAAATCTGAACAGACCGGCATATTTCCAGGGGATGACCCAGCCGACTACAAAGGGTGTGGCAGCGCTCTCTGGAGCGGCAACCAGTTTCCCAAATGAAATCCACCACCAGACGAACGAACATAGATCGGCAATAATAAACGGCCAACTGTACCAATGTATATCACGGAGCCCTTTGCAGGGCTTATTTTCCGGGCTATACAACGCTTTCTGCTGTAGCCAAAGCTGTACCAGCGATCCTACTAGAAAGCCAGCAGATGCGGCCCAGCTAGTGAGGACAGTCGGCAAAAAGGCCAAATCGCGCGGAGTAGACGGAATGACTTTGTACTCATCAAAGCAGCTGATGGCTTCGCACCAGTCCCCGATTAGGTTGCTGTCATTGTTGTATACCAGATCACTGCTGAGGAACCCGACGTTATTGTCCCTGAAACCAGTTATATCATCAGTGACGGATGCATTCAGAGCGACCCGTATAGCGGCACAGTCTGTCGTAGATGCCGGTGTACTGTAGCATTCCTCAAATCGAGTGTTTTTGTAGAGAGCGTATTTTGGGCTGTCTGGGCTTGGGCTGTCGGGGTTGTAGCCGCCAAAATTGGGGGATTTGACAGCGAACATGACGGTGAAAGCTATCGCGACTCCCATGAAGCCGATCATTAGGAAGATGGCAGTCCCTATAAGTCCCCAAATGGCATTTCGCTTCAACTTTGTGTTCACCTTCTTCGGTATCGGAGGGAATTTGCAATCGACGACGATACCTAAACAAATATTAGAGGGTGTATTTCGAAAGGCAGTAAAGAGTGAAGCATAAGTACATACGTCTGCCAGAAGCAGTGTGGTTATTTTGGATTCGACCATACTCATAGTCCGTTGACCCTGTCCGGAGATTCGCCAGTCGCGGCATGATGGAGAGGCAGGATGGTTATTCTGGCTTAGAAGTCATAAATCCAAGGAGAGCTACCGAGTTATACAAAATATTCATTCTAATTTTTCCCACGGTTAGAGTGAAATAGGATGCCAAGCTCAACCTTGCGGCCAGGCCGGAATGCGCCTATGTTGTATTCATATTTAGCCTGCAGCTCGTATATATACTATATAGCCTTTAGACCCTAAAAAGCGAAGTGCAAGCCTCCACCAACATCTCCGCCCGGCAATGCAACCCCAATGCAACCCGATCAACTGAAACAAATAGCACCAAATAAGGCAATGTCAACTCGCTGGCGTCGACATTTCAGCCGCAAGCCTCCCTCTCATGCCTTCTGGTGAGTTGCTCGGGCAAGTCGGTTCTTTGCTCGGACTGATCACTCCCCACCGGGCTCCCAAACCCCAATATGGTAAAATAACGTAGTTCCTCGGAGCCAGTTCCTTAAAATATTCTAATCTAACCGTCCCAGCCACTTAATGTTCAATAAGTCTGACTCTCTCGAATCCTGGCAACTTCTAGATTGTGGTTTGTCCGAAGTACCTTCGAGATACCGAATTAGTCCACACGCAGCGTCGCCGTAGATCAACACTTAATTTGGTGAGGTGCAGTGCGCCATAATCGTCCACCTGCCCGGTGTTAGTGCACCACATACACCGGATTTTCAACAAACAAAATGCATTTCAAAACCACTATTTACAAATAAATACCAAGACTGCTGCCATTGCAGCCTCACGTTCAGCCTTAGCTAAATCCCTTGCTTATTGAGCCTATACTTCGACTTGTGACTATAACTAGATTCTATTCGTAGTATAGCCCGCTAGATTTTACTATTTTTTATTATTACTATACTCCCCGAAATCTATAATATTGGCTATATATTTCAACGTTGGGCCATGCTTGGTACATATTTTACTCGTGATAAAGCGAGGTTGGAGAGATGAAAATGGAGGGGAGAAGGATACTTGTAGCTTTTTTCGGTTATGATAGAAAATGTACCTTTTGCTGTACGGGCTGAATATCCCGCTCCGCCTTTCCTAATTTAGATATAAAAACTGCTATGAGTGCGGGTGAGAAGCCTAGAGACTTGGGTGAGAGAGGTGAGAATGGGGCTCACCTGGGTGGTATTTGTAGGGAGTAACTCATTCAGAGCTTATGCTCATCCTAAGCAAAAGAAAAAAAACCAATATCCAGTGTCCTTCTTTTTGCTCTACTTAAGTGTGCTTTAGATTTGTTTTTAGATTTGAAAATACCCACCCAAAAGACTTCCAGAATGCACTCGAAGAGTTCATAACTAGCACTTATCCTATTACTTGTATTTAGACAAAACAAGAAGGAACACGAAGATAGTACCATATGTCACCTCAAGCCAGCGCCCACTACGCCAGAAACTTCATCCCTTATTGAGATAGACTGTAGTGGCCACATTTGTAACCAGAACCGTATTTAGTCTGCTCCTCCTCCTCCTCCTCCTGTCCTCCTTGTTTTCCCTATTCCTTAGTTGCACTATCCTCTCTTTCTGATTTAATGTATTGTTATACTAAATATTCGAATATATCATAGGAGAAAAATATTATTTGGTAAGTAACCTACACTCAATCAGGAAGAGAACGGAGAGTCCGAAAATGGCGGCCACCTTCGTAGGGTGATACGCTGCCAGGTATATACAAGGATACAAGAACGCTATACAGGTCACAACATAAGAGCCGAGCCTACCTTCTTATACAGCTATGCACATAACACTATTAACATGATACTATTGGTTATTGGCGCATACGAAGACTTTCCAATTCCGCAACGGTTATCCGCGCAACTGTGGAGACGGGAGCCATATGTGGCAGCTAGCGTATCGCTTATACACCGGCGTTTTCCATGACACTTCACAGCTCAATGACATTGGAATTGGTCACATTTGGGTAAGTTGCTAACCCTGCACAAACGGACACCCGCTACTGCTACCCTCGCTGCTAATCTGGTCCTCTTTGCTAATTTGGCGAAACATTGCCATAGGGTCATACCAGACATCAAGACTCTGTACCTGTAGTTTATCATTGACCTTGGCCACTATAATTCCTTCAATGTCAATCGGGCCACCGTGCGCTTGGATCTTGACCTTCTCAGAGGAGCTAGGATTGTAAGCATAAAACCAAATGATCGTGGAAAGTAGTGACCAGGTACCTATTGTATCCCACGTAATCGTTCTTCATCTCGCCCCAATGTCTCCACCGAAAGGCAACAACGGGAGGACCAGAGTATACTTCAAGTACCTCCCAAGCAAACGTTGGCATCATCCGCTTAAATGACTTGTGCGAATCGTTGAAATTGTTGTGTGCAGGATCATAATACTGACTCGCGGTCAGGAGAGCATTATAGGTCCCCACTTCTAACATATGGTGACCTGTTCGTCTTTCACCACCATTCAGGGAAACTGTGTATACGGCCTGATCTATGGTACGCCAGTCGGATAGGTCTGTCTTGAAGGAGGCTTCGATTTCCCAATTCTTCACGAGATTTTCGACTAGGAAAGGGAGACTGCCGGGTTCGTGGGTCTTTGTCTTAGCTGTATGATGTAAGTAATAGAATTTAAAATTCAGATGATTAGGAACAAGAGGGGAGTGCTTTTTTCATAAAAGGCTCTTGTCTTGGAGTAATCCGGAGCATTGCCATGGCGCCAGGCTGCACTGATGTCTTTAAGGACAGCATCTGGATCAAGCACGTAGTCAGGTAATTCACTCATTGTGAATTTTATCAGAGCGAGAACCCAGCAAGAAAATGAGACAGAAAGGACTGAGACAGGGAAATGTCGATTTTATATGGCTCCTCTCCCGTCACTCCCCGAGTCAATGAATAATCCCAGACAGAGACAGGGATATGGCCCCCCACTAGGCCTTAAACAGGAACCGAGGCTTTTGTTATGGTCTAGTGGCAAAATTGGCTGTATCCTTTTATAGGCCCGGATTGTTCTAAATGCTCTTGAGTACTAGTTGGTTTCAATCGAAGCATACACAATTGTTAGGTTCCTTCACACTTGTACGAGCCTATAATCGAACCTGAGGATATATAATGGACGGAAGAGCCATGCGCGGATTCGTTTCTAAAAAAGGAGTGACCCGATGAACCTGATTTGAAGACAATAGTATATAGTTATACAAATGTTACAGGGAGTCCTGACAAATCGACATCCCCTAGGAGATTTCTCAGACTGGGATATGGACCCCCAGTAAACAGGAACCGAGGGTTTTGTTATGGTCTAGTAGTAAATTTTGCTGTAACCTTTCCCCATCTTAGTCCACGACATTTTTGGTTAGTGGGATCTTGGAATGAACCAATCAGGTTAAATCTAACAAGAATATAAATATATACATGGCCAATCTGTAACATAGTATTTCCGCTTTATCCGCCCCGGTTTATATATTAAATCTCGTCTCACGTAGCCCTTTTACCCCGTTTGTACGGAGTTCGCCGTACCTCGTTATTAATTTGTTCATAATTCGTTCCTACCTCTTATTACCCACACTCACTATAAGACAGATTTTCTTGCCACTTATTATTCCAGGATCCTCGAGAATTAACCGTGTAGAGTAATAGAGTAATAGACTTGTATGTACTCCGTAGCTAGTAGTCGGGTAAGCACTGCCTTGGCGTGGAACAGGTCAGTGCAATGTGTCTCACGGGTTGGGTGAGAATCAATCTATAACTAGCGGACGTGCACCGTTCTCACCCCGCCCCGCATAACTCCGAACGCGGTAATTGATTCTTATCGGATTGTTCTCTATAATGCTCTTTCGTCCTAATCTTGTACATACGGACCATAGGGTGTGGAAAACAGGGCTGTCCGCTCAGCCGTACTTAAGCCACATATTTTGCACGGCCAATACTCAATATGCCCTTAGCACCTAAGCGGCACTCTAGGGTGAGTGCGGTGATATGGGGGAGAAGTCTTGAGACCGGGGTGAGAGAGGTGAGAACGGGGTGACAGTTCTCATGCTGTGCTATTCCTCCAACATTCTCCTTGCGCCAAACTCCTCCCTTCCATGCTCGCAGAATTTCGTCGATACTCCATACCCCACTACGACCTTTATGACGAGGTCTCTCAATTACTCGGCCCGATAAATTGAACTAGACACTTTCCATTGGCATCTTCCAATGCTGTGATTCCTTTTTTCAAAACCTATCTTTGTCTCCCCCCAGATGAGCCACACAACCTCCCCTCCCAGGATACTTTCAATGGAGGTGTCGAGCAGGGATGACAGCGAGTACAGAGTTTTAGTTGGGGGTCTGGTCAGATATCTGATCATTGGCGTCGGTACATTCGAACGGCCAACGCTTTCTATGTCCCTCTGTCAGTCGAGATCCGTCGAGCGGTGGACTCGCATTGAATCTACAGTACAAAGCCTTCATCGGCATACCATACCTTTGGCATCCTATGTTGGTTGACTATCTTGAGTTGAAACGAATCAAGCAGTTAACCGCTACCACGTACGAAGCAACTCCTCGGCCCTTGAATAGCCCGGTCCGCATTTGCGGGCCAGATTCGTAGCCACGAGTTCCTCTAACGATTTGATGGGTACGGGGATTGACATGACGGAAATTAAACAAAGACCGAATATCAAGGAGGTAGCATATCTCGTAGACAATCTCAAGCGGTAACGATTGGAGATTTCCAAGGGTTGAGATACTAGGTAGTAGCACGGATTATTCAAAGCAGCGAACTGCGTACCTGGTTATGGTCGTGGGCATTTGTTCGGGCCACCGCTAGATCAAAGTCTCCATTTCGGACTTGTAAGTGGATGCCGCTGCTTTGCCTGGTTCCATAGTAGGTGCCAGGAATTGGTCTCTAGAACCGTCGTGCAGTACTAAATTTTGATTGTGGAGTTCGGACGTTATATCTTGAGAGAGAGTAGAATCATTGTCATTTGGTGTCAGGGTTGTATTGCTGGTCAAAATCGTTGGGGTGTCATAGCCACTGGTTTTGGGTCACGGAGGAAAAGCATGGCCTTTAGCAAATATCATACTAAACAAGGCAGTACGAAGGATGCGAGACCCACATCAGGGAAGTCGTAATTCGAAGAGAAACTGGAAGAGGGACAGTGTTGGTCTGCCTATATTTGCGGTGACAAATTGTAATCACGTGAACACGTGGAGTATTTCCACAAAAACCGCCAAATTTCCTTACGACAGTCATTCGAGGACGTTATCGAGGACGTGATTGAGGACGTGATTAAGCACGTGGTCGAGGACAAAATCGTGTATATGAAGGTATATAAGAAGCAGGATGATGAATATATAGAGTATCAAGGCAGTAATCAGGCAGAAATGTACGATTTTTCCTGATCAAAATGCAGTGTTTTTTACTATGTAAACAAGAAATATATGGCGGTGGCGAAATAAATGGCAGAAAACTCTATACTGGCAGAAAGTATGGCAGAAACCAGCGTCGCACCCTATTAGGAAGGCGGTACTGAAGCTTCACGCATATTAAAACAGCGGTTATTCTACCAATTCCCTAATTATAATATGTTGGGTGCCTGGATGAATGCCTGAATCCCTAAGGCACACAGACCCACATGATGACAGATCCATAACTATACCTAGGTAGATAGTCTCTCTCTCTCTCCTTCTCTCTTTCTCCTCTTTGTCCAACTCAATCATTAAGAATCTATCTGCTTGGTTTCTTCATCAATATTCCATCAATAGATTCTACATTATAATACCACTTAATTTCATAAAATTGATATTAATGTATGGAGCGAGGAGTTACAATTCACTTGCAAGTATTTAGAATGCTGTCGTCCAGGCATTGTGGTGTAATTTCAGAAATCTTCTCCACTAATATCAGCATTTATGGGTCGAACCTCCTTGGCATTCGTCGGGACAACGATCGATCGACACATCACGTAGGCATGGGGCCGAGGTTCTCGTTCTGATTTGCTATTACTTGACCTGAGATAAACAGGGTCAATCGGCTGGGGTGTTGGTGGTTGCCATTAAGCGTGATCAGCACCAGCGTGGCTTGTCTCAACACCTCGGCCACAATGCTTCGTCCGTTGTAGTTACTGGTTATTACTACTTTAGGAAGCAATTTGCGAGCTGGAGTTTTATTTAGATTAATCACAGGGTGGGTCGCGTATTTTCGAACAATCGCTTCACGTTCACCCTGACCATGGGGATTGTCCATCTCAATATGTTGTAAGACAATGATCCGCAGGGCTATACGAGATCTTCCAGTCAACTCCCTCTTATCTACACCAATGGAGTGAAACTGCAAATGACAGTATTGGCAAGGAGCTCGAAGCAGGAGAACGAGCTGATACCAGCCGGGTCTCAAGGGCGATTGATCATGGGCCTGAGAGCCAGAATTCAAATATAAAAAGCAGGCCTTCAACCCTCTACAAAGGGCCCATCATTCGGAACCAAGTCTTCAATTAATAAGATCATTGCAAAAGTCACAAACAACGCAAGTCACCTACCTCCATACAATCAATATGAAGTTCTACTCTGCTGCCGTTGCCCTCTTCGCCGCTGGCGCTATTGCATTGCCTACCACCGAGATAGAGAAGCGTGCCTCTGTCAACTCCGGTGCCCTCGACCTCATTGGAGAATTGGAGGGATTCCGCAGCAACTTCTACACTGACACTGTCGGCCACCAGGCTATCGGTAAGTCTATTCTAGCTCTATTGAATCGATAATACGGAGCGTTAACAATTTACAGGTTACGGCCACGATTGCCCCGCTAACGGCGATTGTGGCAGCATCAATGCACCCATCACGAAGACCGAAGGCAAGAAGCTACTTGCCAAGGACATTGATACCTATGAGAGCTGTGTGTGCAAGCTGGATAATGCCAAGGACCTCAATGCGAACCAGTATGGTGCGCTGGTTAGCTTTGCCTTCAACTCGGGCTGTGGTGGCGTGCAGACTTACTGGCACACTGCGATGTCTGAGAAGAACTTCAAGGGCATCTGCGAAGCTCTTCCTAACACAAATACCCTCAACGGCATGCTGAACAACCGCCGCAAGGCGGAGGGTGACTTCTGCTCCAAGGCTACCGACCAGAAGTCCGGTTGCTGAGGGATTTAATGTTGACAGTGGGGATGTGTAAATTTGGATATATCCTAAATTCCTGACAACTTTTATGTTTGTGGCTTTCTCCGTCGTTACAGATTGTTCAGATATTTTGCAATGTCTGGAGTATACTAGGGATCTCGATGGCATTACGCCTCTCGATAGTCCTTGCGTAGGGAAGCGTTTAGTAGTAATAGTAAGCGATCCCTTCCGGGGGCCCTTCCGGGGGACCCCTCCCGGGGGAGGGGCGGCCGAAGGCCGCCTAGTAATAACTATCTCCTTTTTATCTACTATCTATTCTCCCCTCTCTATAACTACGTCTTCTAGTCTTACCCTTTACTATTCCCGTACGCCTACTCTAGCCGCTGCTATACGCTAGGGATCTCGATGGCTTTGATGTGAGATTTATCAAGTCTGGCGAATAGATTTTTACAAAGAAATTAGGACGGGCTTGCATAGAGTCTTCCCGCTTGCTTTTTTCTTTCTTTCTTCTTTCTTTCTCCTATTTCCTGGCACCTCCGCTCCCTTCTATCTCTCAAAATACCGAAAGTCCTCTCAATTAATAACACAAAATGCTCCAAGGAATCGACATGAAGCCATTCAGCACCCTACCTTTCGATCTTATATAGATAGAGCAGACTGGCGACTAGAATGCTGGTTGGGAGAGGCCTTTTTATATCTCCTTTAGGTCAAAAATGCACCTTTTTAGACCCTGGGAGTGTAGTCGGAATGGCCACACTTCGCATGGATAGGCTGTGAGGAGCGGCGTTCTATATCTACGGGGTCAATAAATATCAGCTAATGTTGCCTTTCCTGCAACAATCGTTGAGGAGAGACGAAAACTAGGCAAACTTTTATTACCGTTTCTGCATATTAGTGATGTATTTAGGTCAATTTCAGTTTCCCACTTCTTAATTTTCACTTCTTCACTTCTCCGATCGCTGTATGTACTCTGCCATTGCTTGCTGTGGATGAATGAGAAACCCGATTGTGGTATACTCTATTGCAGTCAGGACAGACTTTACTGATCAGCAGATTCAATTATTTACATCTAAATGGCCATTTCAGTCTATAAAAGTTGACATTTTTGATAGAGCATTGTACGATTCTAGATACAAATTTTGAGTTTTTACTGCTTGTACCAGTCATCGAAACCAAGGTCCCATCCAAACAGAGGCGTATTGATACGCTTGGCCTTTCCTTGTGCAGCCAGGCGATTCAGCACATCCATATCCTCTCTGGAGAGAGGAATGACTTGACCATTGCTCACGATTCGGCTTTCTTTAATGGACTTGGGTAGTACAACAACGCCCCTGTTGACGTGGTAGCTGATGAGTACCGTGGCGGCTGAAACATTGTTCTTCTTAGCGATCTCCTGAATTGTGGGATCGGACATGAGTGGAGCGCCTGGAAGCGATCAAGTTAGCTAGCGCTACGTCATAAGAAACTCATAGCGTGTCAAAGAGCACGTACCTTCGGAGCCAAGTGGGGAATACGCCTCGAGGAGGATGCTGTGCTTGTCGCACCACTTCTTCAGTGCATGCTGAGGAAGGAAAGGGTGCAACTCGACTTGGTTGACGGCAGGGACCACGGTCCACTTCTTTTTGAGCTCCTCCATATAGGGAATCGACCAGTTGGCCACACCAATTGCCTTTACTTTGCCGGCCTTGTATACCTCCTCCATCTGGCGCCAGGTCTCATTCTGGTCCCAGGATCGGTCGACAGATCGTGTACCATCGGGGTTGACAGGAAGAAGCGCGCTCGACTCGTTCTGTGCGCATAATTTAGCCATGCAAATGTCGTGGTGGAGGGAAACAGCAGTGACTTACAGCAACAAGTCGGACTGGCCAGTGGATAAGCTGATGTTTGTGTTAGCCGTGCCGCATCTACCCAAAGAGGAAGAGGGTTGATTTACGTAGAGATCGAGGTAGTCCGTACCCAAAGCCTCAAGTGTCTTTTGGAGACCTTCCGCGACATTGTTTTGGTGAGTATTCCACAGCTTGCTGGTGATGAAAATGTTTTCGCGAGGGACACCACTGTCCTTGATGCCCTGGCCGACTTCGTGCTCGTTTCCTGGTTATCCGTTAGATCCTAGTAACTTGCTTCCTATTTCTTTGCTAATGCCCACCGTAGATCCTGCGATTTATTAGCCAAGGCTATTAACTGCAAAAGAAACATGGGAATATTACAATGCCGCGTCAATGTGAGTATATCCGTTCTTGAGAGCGAACGAGACTGCTTCGCGGACTTGACCAGGTTCGGATCTCCAGGTGCCTGTATTACTTGTCAGCAACAATCGCAAGGCCCGCAGGGACCAGCGCTTGTATCATACCAAGTCCTACGGCGGGGATCTGGGCGCCGGTGTTAAGCTTGAAATGAGTCGAAGGTGCCATATTGATTGTGGTGGAAGATCGAAGTGTATGAGTCTGGAGCTTTATGCTACACTTTCGAGGTGAACCATACAGGACAAGAGAAAAGGCATGTGAACGGGGTCCTTTCTATATTTGAGAGGGCTTCCGGTTTAACTGATGCCAACAGAAACATAAGCATCGCATCGCCTGGTGTGGAGTATGTGCCCGCGAGATCGGATGAAGTCCGGTGCCTCCTTCAGGGGAATTTCGCCCCGAGAGGATGTCGGCTGGCCTGTCCTGACACCTACCCGATACTCTTTTTACCCGATGGAGTAAAGATTAGGCGAATTGCTTCCGGATCTGAGCTTTCAGCCCCCCGCCCGTTACAACACAATGCGCCGCAATCTTCCTAATACGGTAATATTTGAGATAATGAGGGGTGCACCCCACCACTGGTAGTTAACTAGTTGACTAGTTAGGGGCTCGCCCAATATTATTCTCTCAGCTTATCGGATAAACTATAATCATGCTTCGCCATTTTCGCTATTTTCGCTGTCTACAATTGGTCACCTACTATCCTCCCTTGTTCAACGCAGTATTCACCAAAAGTTGATACCAAGCACTCTGCAGTGAATCTTCTGGCGGTGGTTTTTTTTATCTACCCATTGATGCAGATATCCCAGGAAAGCGACAAGCGGATGGGCCCGGAGCTCATTATAGCTGCCTTGACCAACAACAAGATGGGGAAAGAAAAACAGTACCAAAAATAATAATTTACTGCATGTACCTTACGCTGCAAATTCTGGTCGAATATCACGCCTGGAAGTATGGTCGACCGTTTCCCGTTCATGATGACCAGACCCTGTTCTTCGCGCTGTTTTCGAGTGAGGTAGATGAGTTCAGTTCTCTCTGCAGCGAAGGAAGACCATGTTTTTGATGGATTAAGTAAATCCTCTCAGGAGATCGAAAGCCCAACCGTTTACATCTTTCATGCCGAAAGTACATATTAAAGAGGATGAACGGGGGTTATTATTGAAGCAGAGTATTGCGAGTGGTGAATTAAGGGAGTAGTGGTCAAGGAAAGAGAGCCCAGCGATGTCTCATTTGAACCAGTCGAAATAGCAGAGACACGCGAGCACACGCTGGAAGATATGGCAATGACTTTTTGAGAAGGACATCGCCATATGTAACAGTCCAGAGGAAGAACTGAATAAGACCGCTAGTGCGGAGCTTTTCGAACGTGTCCAAGACATGATTATATAAGCATTGCGGTTTTAGTCACAGAATACGCCCAAATTTAGGGAGGCTAAGGGACGGTAAACCCTCAGTACAGTACAGAAATAGAGATGTATTCTTGGTCTTTTTACGGCACACTTGTTTGAACGCGGAATCATCAATACATATTTATCTATAGAATCTAAACTTTGTAAGGGGGCGGGGAAATGCCCTCCTTGAGGGCTTTCAGGCGCAAAGCTAATAATTTGGAGGCATATCGGGCCATTGGAAGGAAACCAACCATGATCCACATGTTGGGCACTCCCGTCTCCCTGTAGGCTGTCTTGTACTCGCCTTCCTCATCAATACCCCAAATAGGCCCACATTGACTGGCAATCTTCTCACCAAGAGTGGCGCGAATGGAGTCGATCATGTTGGAAAATCCGGTGGCAAAGACGACTAGGTCAAACTCCTTCTCACGGCCGCCGCTTAAGGTCACCTTATCCTCAGTGAACTTCTCAATAAAACCTGGCTCTACCTTGATGTTGCCATTGATAATTTCGTCGCAAGCACCGGCATCAAAGTAGAATCCACCGTTTCGGGTCTGGCCAAGTGTGGAGTTGCCAGTATCGCGCTGGCCGCGCCATGTTCGCAGACCACGGGCGTTAAGAGCTTCGAGAAGAGGCCTGTCGAGGTCCTCAAGGACCTTAGCGGTGCGCTTAGCGAGTTCCTCGCCGGGTCCAACTGGCGTACAGAAGTTAATACGATCCATGACATCGGTATCGGGGAGGTTGCCGTTCTTGTCAGGCGCGTAGATTCCAAGCATCCGAGGAACGGAATGGGTCAAAGACATAACATAAGTCGGTGAGCGCTGGAGGAGGGTCACATCAATTCCGAGACGAGCGCACTCGTAAGCTGTGTCAAAGCCCGAGGATGAGGTACCGACTACGCAGACCTTCTTCCCGACAAAGTCACGGGAGCTCTTGTGGTTGCTGGAGTGACGGATCTCGCCCCGGAAGTCAGTCATTCCAGGCACGGAGGGGGTAGAAGGAACACCGCATAGCGACGTGGCCATGATGAGCTGCTTAGGGTGCAATGTGCGAGTCTCATTGCCCTCCTTGTTAATAACAACAGTCCACTTTCCCTCGGCATCTTGCTCTGCCTTCACAACCTCTGATTTAGTCCAGACATTGAGCTCCAGAGCGGAGGCATACCACTTCATATATAGAGCCTGCTTCTGAGCCGGGGTACATGTGGGCCAATGCTGAGGGTATTTGAAGTATGGCAAGGAATCGGGCCAGTGTGGGAAGTGCAGTGAAAGATATTCGTAACGCTTCTTCCAGACATCTCCGATTTCGTCGCTGCGTTCGATAATCAGGCTCTCCATACCGAGAACTTTCAGGCGCGCTGCCATAGCGAGACCACTAGTAAAAATAATTTAGTATCATATCAATAGGGCTTGTATGTATTGACTCTTACTTTTGACCACCTCCAACGATCAGCACCTCAGGGTCAACAGTGTTAATAGCCTCGGATCTCTGACTCTCCCAGCTAGTGATACCAGTCATATGTCCATCTGGTGCGGGCTGCTCGGGGAATTGCTTGAGGGTCTCGGCCACAGTATGCATAGTGTAAATTCTCCAGCCATCTTGAGTGAGGACTGCATTGATGACAGCCGAGGAAAGGACAACCTCAGTCTCGAAGGATACAACAAATTGCAGCTGAGAGAAATCAGGGTAAGGGTGAGACACAGAAGGCGCAGGCTCAAGAAAGTTGAAATTTTTAGCCTTAGTTTGAGGCAAAAGGTCGGCAGCGGCTTTAAGGATGGCCTCTCTGAAATTAAATGTGCGGAAGTCCCAGGTGAATGAGAGTTTGTCGCGCCACACGCCTGTAAATCGGAGATGAGCGAGGTTAGCCAAACTCGAGATTTCGGACCTTTCTTGTGAAGGGTCTCACCATAATGGAGGAACAGTTCGGCGAAAGCTTGTGGGTCTTCCTCTGATATAGCTTCAGAGAGACGGGCTACGATGCCCTCGGCCTCCTGATAAGCATCGCAATCGGTGGGGATTTTAACGCCTAAGACGTCGGTGGTGGGGAGTGTGTGGTTGTACTTGAAGTCGTACATGAAGTCGTCCGCGACGGGCTTTGGGACCTGGTCGTGGTTGAGCGTCACGCTCTTAGACTGTATGGTAGTCTTAGAGACGGCATCGGTGCCAGCGGATTCCAGAACGTAAGGTGCCATCTTGTCTTATTTTGACAAGAAAAATGCTGAAAAGGTGCCTCTTAGGTAATGTTCACAGACTGATCTCGCGAAAAAAAAAAAAGAATGCTTCAGAGCTGCCGATATATGCGTTTCAAGACCAACACATCGAATGATCTAGTTATCTATATTCTTCAGCTACTACAAGTCCTCAATATTAGAAGTCAGTGTCGAAAATCTCCGAATCAGGAAAGTCTCGCCGCATCCCAACCGTATTTAGTTATTCTTTCAATATGACCGGACAAAGTCCGTGCCCCGCACGATTAATTTTTTGTTGGTCATTCCTTAATTCCTGACGTGCTGTTTCTGGATATGCCCCGCGCCGTTAAAGATGTGCTCCACGGCAATATACCCAGCGCCGATGTTCGCCCGATATTGCCTTAATAGGTTCTACATCAATCGGATGAAACCAGTTATTCACATCGGCACGGTATATTGGACGGGTGGCTAAGCTCGGATGAAACCGATCCTTAACCAGGACTAGCGAAAAATCAGTGGCAACGGAGAGCGATTTAGACCTGTCAGGGTAAGTCTTTACGGAAGTCTAAGTACACATAGGGACAGTATGGTTACGGATTACGTCCAAAGAGAATCTAAAAACGCAAGGTGATCTACGTGCTGCAATGCAGCTCCCCCCCGAAATATCATACGTGTTATTCAGACGTGTTATTTATATCTTTAGCTAATCTAGTCCTGCCGTTGTGGTGCCGTGCTCGCCGTAATTTGCAAGACTTCTTATGGCGGCGCGCTCAAGCAATATCGAGTATTTCACCCATATAGCAGGATAAATTGCCGCAATGTCCAATCCCGCGAGCGCGAAGAGGGTATCGGGTCAGGAGGCGGGAAAGTTGAAGATGTAGGTTTATCATCGGCCACAAGACTGGTCGATCAGGCAGGTCAGGGCCATCAGACCATTAATACAGTTAACGTCCCAACAGCACCAAACGATGCTTCGTAGTATATGGCATAATGTATGTCGTAGAGCCAGAATCATCTTAGAGCCTTTCAAAGTTAACTGAAAGTCCCAGATGCCATGCTTCACTTGCTGGCTTCTGGTTCAACATTTACATATGCTGTGGTAAATCTGCGCCCCTAGTTCTAGCCGCTAAGAACCAAGACTGATATGGTCCTCAAGCTATGGACACTACTAAAATTTTGAAATATAGTACAATTCTTCTAGAAGTGCCATGAAATTCAAGGTGAAGTCTAACAATCTTATTTACAATCATTTTTTTTATCTTTTGATATATGCAATTGATGTAGTGAATACTACAGTGTATGGGAAAAAGTAGGAGAAAGATTCTTAATTGCTAAATCTAATCATGCAAGGGTTTATATACCCTGCAAACCATCTAAACATTGCTCAATTGTAGCAAACAACAAATAGCAAACAAATCTCAAAAGGCTCAGTCTGCAGCAAACAACATGCATGCATGCATGGGAGTTCAACAGCAATCACTTCATAACTTACTCCATGATGGGAAGACCATTGTCGTCGAAGTATACGGGCACACCCTTGCGGAATGAGTACTGTAAAGCAGCGCAGATCTTGCCCGCCTCGAAGGCATCCTCTGGCACACAAGTCATGGGCTTGTTATCAAGCACCGCATCGGCGAACTCAGCAAGGTCAGCCAAGAAGGTCGCATCGAAGAGGGTGAACGCATTAGGCACAGATTCCGTGCGAATACCGAGATGGTCGCGAATCTCAACATTCGAGTTAGAGCTGATTATCGAATGTCCCTTGGTACCACACAGTCGAGTGGTGTCCTCGAAACCGCTGGTGAGCGTACGGCCGAGGTAGGTCTTGAAAATCTTGCCATTGGCATATTCCACCAAGCCCCATGCGTTGTCAGCGTCGCCATACTTGGCCAAGTCCCCGTAGACAGCATTCTGGCCGAAGGCGATGACTCTATTAACTTGCTTCTTAGTGTTGGAGAGACCTGACTTGATATCTAATAGGTATCGTCCGGCGTCGACCTAGTACCGTGTTAGTGGATTAGACGATGATAGAGAGGGGGAAAATACTGGTACTAACGGTGTGGATACCAAAATCAAGGAAAATGCCGCCAGACATCTCAGAAAAAGCCACGAAAAAGGCTAAACGGAATGGTTAGTTCATTATAGATAGAAGATAACGACTAGGGGACAATTAGAGCCATACCATTAGGGTCTGCTTGATCGATACCAGTCGTCTCAACAGCGTGGATTTCACCCAGAGTTCCATTATCAATCAGGGCCTTAGCCTGGCGGTAGGACTTGTCATCTGCCGCGAGTCAGTCCCGCAATCTGCAAAGTAGGGACCTCCTATTACTTACATCGGCGAGTAAATGGAACAAGGAACTTAAGGTCAGGCCTAGAAGCAGACTTATCGACGACTACCCTGGTAGTAGCGATATCCACAGAAATAGGCTTCTCGCACATAACGTGCAAGTTCAGATCAAGGGCCTGCAGGATCAAGGGCGCGTGTGTAGCCGTCGCGGTGCAGATAAGGACAGCCTCAGCGCCGCTGTTCTTCAAGCATTCTTGAGGGTCTGAGAAATATTGGACAGTCGAGGGCAGATCCTCTGCGGCCCATTTTTCCGTGCCTGGATTAGTATCGCAGACGGCGACGAGTTCGATCCGAGGTTGCTGGAAGGCGAGGATGCGGGCTCGAAGCGCTCCCAGACGGCCGAGGCCGAAAAGTGCAAACTTGACACGGCGGTCCGTGTAAGACATAGCTCAGGGTTGTGGTTGTGTGATGTTTTTATATTCGCGGTGATGAGGCGTTTCGGGGTAGGCAATGCAATGACACAGACAGTGTGATGGAAGAATGCAGACGTCTAGTCAAGCAGTAGAATGCGACTTTGCACCTTCTGAGATCGGGGCTATCTTATTATTTATAAACCTGTGGTCTCCATTCTGGAACATATCCTTAATATTAGTCCAGGAAACCACTTGAAGGCTTCCCTGCATTGGTAGACGCTATCCGAATCCAATAGTTACATCGTGCCTCGCGCAAGAACCGATATGGGGTGGGGTGGGGTGGGGGGGATGGCCCGAGAAACGCCGCCTACGGGGATCATCACCTATGGTTAACCATGGGGCTTCTCGGATGGACTGTTTGGCAGGTACTCTGTAAAACATGTCGCGTGTGAGGTCCAATTACATGGCGCGAGGTGGGAAATGGGATCGCCGCCGAGCAACGGCACTTCTTTAGTGTCGCCGCAGCTTTCCATATCCGGTAATTTCTCGGACAGATTCCGTCGCCGCGTTTTTTCTTCATCTATTCATTTCTCGAGACACACATTCCTGGACGGGGTAGCCCATTCCCTCTCCGCATTCTCCATGCCTGGTAATCTCCTCCCCGGCTTTAACTCCACGAAACCTTAGCAGACATCGTCATCTTTCCCGAATCCCAACAAATGAAAGGCTCCAATCCAACTTGGCCCCTGAACCCGGATCCGCAAATGCCACGGCAGCATATACCCAATAAAAATATAAGAATCTGGAGTCCAGGTTTATTCACCTCGCTTCCATACATAGCCTTATCTACACGATCTGTGTCCATAACATATCACACTTCTATTCCACCTTCAATGACCAAATGGACGAAGACATAGGCATAAAGACGGACAAGTCCGTGGCTGAATCATCTTCAGAACATGAGGAAGTAGCTGTCATCACCACCGTCGAAGGGCGTTATGCGCTCGGCCATTCCGCCGATGCGTACGGCCCTGATGGGGTGCGAGGTATTTTTTCATCTGGCTACGTGCTTGGGGCGGCCTTATTGGCCTCCCTGGGTGGTTTCTCGTTTGGGTATGACCAAGGTGTCATCTCCATCATCAATGTGATGGACCAGTTCCATGCAGTCTTCCCCGAGACTAAGACCTCATTTGGCACGGGGTTCATGACTGGAATGCTGTTGCTTGGGTCGTTTGTTGGTTGTCTGTTCATGCCTTACCTTGCAGACAAGATCTCCAGGAAGTGGGCATTGACTGTTGTTGTGGTTGTCTTTAATATTGGTGCAATCCTTCAGACAGCTGCCCCAAACTATGGATGTCTAGTTGCTGGGAGAGCGATTGGTGGTATTGGCGTGGGTACTATGGCTATGGTAAATGCTCTCTCTTCTCGGCCTTGCCTTTTTTCTTCGTTTCGAGATCTCGTGGCAGTTTGCTAACTTTCCTCTTCAGACAGCGCCTCTCTACATCTCGGAAATTGCACCACCGAACCTTCGTGGGACATTGCTGGTTCTGGAGTCCGTTTCTCTCGTCTCCGGTGTTGTGATCGCATATTGGATCACCTTCGGAACTCGACTCCTACAAGGCTCTATCTCTTTCCGACTTCCCCTCGGCCTACAGATGGTATGTGCTACGGCACTAGGCATCTGTATACACTTCTTCCCGTATTCTCCACGGTGGCTTGCGCTCGTAGGCCGTTCCGAAGAATGCCTGGCCAGCTTGGCCAGGCTCCGAAGCCTCCCCGCTACAGATGAGCGCGTGCAAGCCGAATACAGTGGCATCCTCGCGGAGGTCGTCTTTCAGCGCCTTGTGGAAGAACACACCCATCCTGGGGTTAAGGGCTGGAAGCTGGAAGTGCACAGTTGGCTAGATCTGTTAAAGAAGAAGAATTGGCGCCGGACGGTTGTCGCAGTCGGTGTATCGTTTTTCCAACAGTTCTCCGGCGTCAACGCATTCATTTACTACGCGCCTACGCTTTTCCGGTCACTCGGCCAATCACATGAGATGTCGTTGATACTATCTGGCGTCTTCAATGTCCTGCAGCTTGTTGGGGTCTTTATTTGCCTTGCAACAATTGACCGGGTGGGACGTCGCCCTCTTGCCATTTTTGGTGGATTTGGCTGCGCCATCTGCTACATGATCATCTCGATCCTAAGCGGGTTATTTTCCGATGATTGGGTCGCTCATTCAGCAGCTGGCTGGGCCTGTATTGCTTTCGCCTTCTTATTTATTCTAGTCTTTGGCGTTTCCTACTCACCTTTGGGGTGGGCACTTCCTTCGGAGGTTTTCACCACAGCGTCTAGATCCAAGGGAGTCGCCTTGGCCACCTGTATCAACTGGCTCTCCAATTTCATCATTGGAGTAGCTACACCCCCGATGATGGAAACCCAAGGCTATCGAACCTATGTCTTCTTCGCGGTAATGTGCTTTTTCGCTGGGGTCTGGGCACTGCTATTGGTCCCTGAGACGAAAGGCAAAACACTAGAGGAAATGGACGAGGTGTTCGGGGATGTGCAGGGTCTTGCTGAGAGAGAGCTTATGAGATCCGCTGTCCAAACGGTGAGGCGGGGTATTATAACCGAAGAGCTGAGAGCCTAGACGCGTCACACTAGGTTACTCTATAGACCTTGGGCAAAGACTGCCACGGGAAGTACTGATCGAAGGGTCGCGTGACTGTGACCCCAGGGTGACCCTTAGAAAGTATACGAAGAAGTAGGAAGGATTGGATATATAAGGACACTCGTTCACGGACATGTATTTAGAATTTTGCGATCAATTGATGTAAGTTACTACAGGATACTATTTTGATTACACTTCACTGTTCAACGCTTGTGACAACCATCGGACATCCTACAAGTATATATATATCTTGAACCTCGATTTTTTAGGTGAAAAAAGTAAATTTTATATTCTTTTTTATGTTCGATTTTTTATTAGTTTTTATTATAATTTATATAGTGATTACTATTACTATTATATATTATATATTATAAACTAAAATTACCTTGATTTAGGGTATAAAAACGAGGTTAATACAGTATTTTTAGGGCACGTTTCTGTGCCCTAATTTGGGCCGTTTGGTCCTTGGACCGGCCATGGGGTGTGCCCAGGTCTAGTCAAGATAACCCAAATCTGTTACATTGATACTCCCATCAGCGGAGATTGTCCCTTCCATATGAAAGATGAAAGAGGATGGTACAATCTTACTCCCCTGAAGTGTGATGCTGACCCCCGCGAGCTGAAGGGGGCATATCTTTATCTGGCCAGTGATGCCAGCACCTACACCACGGGATCTGTATAGTTGTGGATAGTATCACGAGCTGACTTATGAGCATTGTATGTGTACTGTTATACATGCTTACTCTCACATGATATATGTTTACCCCTCTTCTCTTCCGTCTCTCTCTTTCTTTTCCTCATGTTTGTTACTTTCGAGAATAGCTACCCTGAATCACATATTGACAGTTAAAGGATTGAGCACCGTCATAGATGAGGGTTATACATGTCGTTAGCTCCCAATCAGCAATATCAATAGATGATAGAGATTACTTGCCAGTTTATGCCCTAGAATAGAACGTATGACTCGAGACTAGATGCCCATTCGTATATCAGTGCCTTGCTAGGCTTTATTTCTCCACGATTCCATCAGCTCCTATTCAAAAAGAGCTCTCAGTGATATACAAAGGACATGAGGTCACAGTTCAGCGCTATCGACTATTTCCCATCGCCGTTTCAGAGTTTGGTAGGGCTTCCTCATTGGCCACGCATATAGCTCCTTTGTCCTGTTGATGATCCCAACCAAAGCATTGCGTTCCTCCTGATCAGTGAAATAATCTCCGTAAAGAGTAACGGCAATGACAGCATTGACCAATGCAGGTTGGATACGGAGATGACCCAAGGCGATGCCGCAGATATTCAAGACAATGGCTCTGACCTGTGCTTCAGCTTTGCGGTGCATCGTCCGGGTTGCTTTTCTAGACGATATCAGCACAGGTATAGTGTAAGAGTAACTCTTCGGACTCACTCCAGGTACGGACTCTCGGCAATCAAAATCATCTGGGCTAATCGGAAGTGCTGAATTGCAGTCACATGGACATCGAGGCTGTACCAAACCGTCGGAAATATCTTGCCTCTGGCGCGATCCGGATTGAGATCAAGGATGGGTTCAATTTCCCCCATGCAATCTTGAGAAAGCTGTTGCTCTCTGAGCTTGAGTTGTGCTTTTTTGTAGATTAGTCGTCACACTTCATTGTCCAGAAGGAAACAATTCTTACTCCATTCCTCAGGGAGCTTTTGTCCCCAACACCAAGTCGCCACCTCTCCGGCAAATATTATCATGTTGTTGGCCATCGATGTGTTGCGCCAGCGGTCGAAATCAAATCGCATGTGGGGGATAGTCTCCCTAGAGTATGCATAGTAGACCTCTTGTCTTATAACAATCCAGTATGCTGCGGTTGCCAAAGAATTTTCCGGAGGAGACTCAATCATTGAATCGATGATTTTCTGAGTAATAGCCAAGAAATTAACACGTCTGTCGTCATAATAATCAGTATCGATCTCATTTTCGTCCATATCTTCGTCCATCTCCTCGTATTGTCGCAATATCACAGTGGCAGCCATGATATTTTCTTGGTGCACTGGATCCTGAATGTCAGGGAATTTAACAAGATCTGGAATACATCTCAGCATATACTCCAGAGCACTAGACTTTTTCAGGCGTGGTAGGAGCTGTCCACGATAAAGTATGCCTTTTGATGTTGAGTATTTGGGTAGTCGACACAAATGCCGCGAAGCAACGGCGAAGATAGCGTTTTTGAGAGTTGGGCAATGCTGCGCACGAAGAGGAACAACTAATTGAAAATTTCTTAGGATATCGCAATGATCAAACTATATCTATTAGCCGTGAAAAAAAAAAAGAAAACTTTCATCCATACAGGGCTCCGTACCAAAGGAGACAGCTCTTCAATGAAACAACGCATCAGGCATGATTCTTGAACACTGTGATGTGAAGCAGCAATCATAGAGACTGAGGATGGAGATATAGAATAATCAATATCTGTCTCACTCTCACAATGTTGCAGACTAGTATACGTTTCTGGGTCGGTATAGAAGTGCTCGCTTCCACCGATAGGCAGCTGTGCAGTCTCATGGCTCCTTGATGATAACACTGGATATGAGGAAGTTACACTGTGACGTCTTTGCCAGGAAGCCTCTTGTTGATGATTATCAGGATTAAATCCACAGAATCGACTAGTCGAGATTTCTTCCGACCCAGTTGAAGCCTCCCTTGGAGGCGTTTCCATGAAAGGTGGGGAGGGTGTTGGGAAGTGCGCCCTTGAGACGGAAGCTATTGGAGACCTGCCATTCGTGGGCTCCCTACTTGAGCGCAGGGGGTTCTTTGGATCGTCTTGGCGGCCCAGCGCATTTGACGGGTGCTTCGGTCGCCGCCAGGTTTTTGGCTTGCTGTTAACCCATATTTGGCCCTGTGTAAAGGTTGTGTCAAAGTTGGTAGTCGAACCATGTAGGAAAACGGCTTTCTTCTGCACAGGCTTGCACTCGAGTCCCTTTGTTTCACATCGATTACAAACTGGGAGACACTTATCACATTTCTGGTGGCGAGCTGCGGGCACTCATTAGCTATGCACTCACGTATCATACACAAATGGATGCTTACCTCGGCAGTTGGAGCAAGGCGCTTTGGCCAATGGTTTATCCGACATGCCGACCGTTCCACTCATCATTGCAGAGTTGGTCCTGTCGAAATGCCGATGTGGGATCTCGCGTCGCCAGTGCCTACCCCGCTGGGGTAAATGCGGGGAATCCTTCCTCCGCCGGGAGATAGCGGCCACGTGGCTACTCTAAGATCTATAGCCTTAGGCACCTACTAGCGAAATCACGTGAGATACACCGATCTACTCCTAATTAGGGAGCGGTCACGTGGCTACTATAGTCATGACGGCCTTAGGCACCCACTATATCCCTAACTAGTTAGATGGTAAACTAACTAACTAGATGGTAAACTAGATGCTAAACTAGATGCTAAACTGGATGCTAAACTAAATGCTAATCGTGGCACGGCCTAACACCAACCACCTACCGGGGGTTGGTACCCCTGGACTGCGACAGGAAGCGCGTTGTCACGAGGAAGGTACGATTGTGAAAACCAGCAGAGAGCACACCTGCCCAGGCGATGACGCTTGACGAACTGCATCCTCCCTACGTCTTTTATTGCCGTAGGTGGGATGGCATATATGTATATAGAGATAGTAAGCAGTAGTTTAAAGCAGAATGACTTTTTGATGGAAGGCGAGTGAAGGACGATCTCAAATAAAAGTAAGAAAAGGGGGATAAGTTAAGAGTTATATATAATTAAGGGTCAGAATTGCATTGGCAGTCATGGTGGGAAGTCTCACTTCACTCTCACAGTTTCTTGATATTACTCTTAATCCTCAACTTGCTCTCCATGAAATACTCAAAGCCACGTTCTAAGGTTGATAGTAAGAGGCACTGAAGGAGGAAATAAACTTAATAGAAAGTTCACCTACGAGGCTAATCAAAACTTTACAAATGAAAGAAAATGGAATGGAATAACGACCAGTGAAATGTTCTGAATTGTAGCGATGAATTCTTGCAGGGGCCTTTTGAAATACGGGGAATTCGACATCACTTCCCACTGAGATGATTCTCCCAAGGGGGGAGGGGCTTTTAGTCAATGGCGTGGAAAGTCCGGCATTCGATCCATCCATCCATCTGAGCTTCGGTCGTTAGCTCGGCTACTTCCTCCAGAAGTCCAAGCATCCGGATCTCGAGAGTTCGCAGCATGTCCGGGATCAGGTTAGAGGAGTACGGGTTGTCTCCCAGATAGAGAGCGATCAGCGCAGCAGTCATGCCCATACTTATCTGGGCTTCTTATATTATGCTTTTTCGGGGGTATTCTCGGTCATCAAGGCGTACTCGTAGTTGTGTGAGCAGCTCCAGTTGCTCATCAGTGAAGCTCGCGATTGGCCGAGTATCGATCACTTATCCTTGTCAGCTTTGTCTTTGTATTGCGGTCGTCGATAGGATGTATCTTACTTTTGGCGGGAATGATGATGGAGTTGGTCGTAAATAACTGGAGGCTCGAGCTGTAAATCGACAAGTGGTAGTCAGCTTCTTGTCCCACAAATATTCTGTCATGCTGCCGAGGAAGCTTACATTAGGCTAATCTTAAAGGTTTACAAATGATAGAAAATGGAATGAAATTATGACCAGTAAAATGTTCTGTATTGCCCTTGGGAGAAGTACCTCAGTGGGAAGTCAAGAGGTCCCTGCACTCTCGAATACCCCTTTTAGTCGATTGTGTGGAAGGTCCAGCACTGGGTCCATTTATCTATCTGCGCTTCAGCCGATAGCGCAACTGCTTCTCCCAAAAGTCCAAGCATTCGGGTTTCCAGGGTTCGTAGCATAGGGGAATCATCTCAGAGAAGTGCTGGGTATCTCCCAGGTGGAGAAAGATAAGCGAGGCAGTCATGCCTATGATTATCCCGGCTTCTTGTGTTATGCTTTCGCGGGAATATTCTCGGTCGCTTATGCGTACTCGTAACTGGGTGAGCAGCTCTAGTTGCTCATCGGTGAAGGTTGGGATCGGCCGAGTATCGGTCACTATTCCTTGTCAGCTTTGCCTTTATATTGCGGTCGTCGATAATATGTATCTCACTATTGGTGGAAATAATGATTGGTTTGGGCGTAAATGACTGGAGATTCGAGCTGTAACTAGACAAGTGGTAGTCAGCTTCTTTTTCCCACAAATATTGTCATGCTGCCGAGGAAGCTTACATTTTGGACGGTGTCCAGAGTTGGCATACGAAGTGTGGAAGTTGAAGGAAGATGAAGGAAGATGAAGACCGACTTGGGGGATCAAAGGCAAACATTCATCCAAGCAACTGATTGCTACCTCTCCCAAAAAGGGAAAGAGCAAGGCTCATGCCTGGAGGCAAGATGAATGCTCTTATAGAAATACCTAGATAGCTAACGCTTATGCGCTTATGAGTTCAGCCTTATATCTTCAGGAATACGCTAGAATTTATAGTGAGTGATAATTGAGATTTGAAGAATATATAAAACAGTGCTCTTAGGAAGGAATCTTCACAAGTAAGGGTAAAGTGAAATTACGCTCAGTGGTGACTTAGTATACTGAGCGTCTCCTGGAAGGTCCCTCCCCCTACTCTTTCTTCATGGAGTCCAGCCAAAATTCAGTCTGATTTCATGTGATTCCTCTCGGATTCTGTCACATGTATCATGTGAGTAGTCGCTTATTCTCTGAGCGACCCTTCTTTTGGATCGGTCGTTGTTCAATTGGTAAAGTGACAGGGGACAGACAGGCAGGATAGAAACCAACTTTGCAGACCTGTATACCGGAAGAGAAATGCTTACTCCAATGCCTATGGTCAGTGTTACCCACTCAATAGAAACCTTTCTTACGGTCAGGTTTCCATTGCGACTTCATATGCAGGCCTAAAGATAGAAAGTCAATGATACATGGTGTTCAGTATGGATACATTCCCATATAGCTAGCTATATATTCCGTGGTTGACCTTCATATCGTTTTGTGTCCCTCTAGTTCCGCCCAATGTATTGGGCTCTTTCCGCTGCGGCGTAAACATTCAACGCGCCTCGCTGCAGCTGCTAAGAGATCGGTACGTCAACGAATCAGAGAGCGACGGGAGAGGCAGTGGGAGCAGGAGATAACCTCCGCACCTGCGAAGCGCTTGGTGCAGGCGCCGAGCAAGAAAGCACTCTGGTTATATGAATGATGTGGAAGTCACAATGTGCGATCTTGATCCAGATGCGTACAATACGGATTGGACTTCGACACTTCTTGTTCAAGACCAAAGCAGCGAGACAGACCGGTGTAGTTGTGACGAGGGCTCACAAACACCAAAGCATATCCTTATGTAGTGTTCGCAATACGTAGTTGTGGGATATTGGGATCAACGAGATGGAGTACGATAAGCTCGTTTCATGCACCTAATAGGTCTCCTATATTAGTTCCAGTATGTGACACCCGAGGAAAACGACGACGACGGACGGAAAGGCCTTGTGGCAATAAATCTAGGTGTGGAAGACGATGGGTATTAGCAAGTGAAGACAAGTGATGCTGTGAAATGAGAATGGAGTCGCCAACCACGCCTAACCGGCCAGAACAACGTCACCATCAATTGCAACTAAGGCAGGGGAGGGTTTACACAGAGAGGGGAAGAGAGAGAGAGAGAAGTGTGAGATCGAAGGTGGGAGATAGAAGGTGGAGGGTGCACTCCATCATTATATGTTAATTTCTTATATATGGGCTAATTCCACACTCTTTACGATCCGCATCTGTATTCTCTCTGCGGAGACCACGGCTCGGCGTTTGGCTTCGATTTCTTGCTTCAGTTGGATGAAGGGCCTGCATAGTCATATGCAACTAGTTACACTGCAACATGTGAATTCAACTTTGATTAGTTGATTGATAGACATTCAACGCTTAGCCAACATCTTCATCCGAACTCATGCTGATAGGCTATTACATTGAGATCATCCCTCAAATTTCAAATTTTCCCCCTTTAACACCAAACATATGCTTTACATTGCTACTTTCCTGCAGCATCTCCACCCTAATTTCCCTGGGACGATGAACGATTTGCCGGAATCTCTCCCCGCCTTGACGGAACGATTAGCAGGAACTGCTATTAATCTGGTCACGACAAACGACGAGTTCTTCGGCAGCATTGAAGGACTGGAGTGTGTTATGGTGGAAAGCATGTACTACCAAAATGGTGGAAATCTACGACGAAGCTGGATAGCGAACCGGAGGGCTATGGCTATTGCGCAAATGATGAACCTCCACCAAAGCCAAAGCCGAGCAAAGTACAAGGTTCTTGACCACAAACCGAAAGCTCATCCACAGTTCATGTGGTTTCGAATTGTCTCCCTCGACCGTAATTTGTGTCTCATGCTGGGTCTTACGCAAGGCTCCTCTGACCTGAGCATGGCCACTGGCACAGCATTCAGAGATGACATTCCTATGGGCCGCCTAGAGCGGATGCACTGTACTCTCGCCTCTCGCATATTGGAGCGTAACGAGTCTGACCCGTGCGGTAATAACTTTGCCCTGACACAAGCCCTGGACTTGGAACTACAGAAAGCCGGTAGAAGCATGGCCAGCAAATGGTGGCTTATGCCAAACCTTGACAGTGTCACGGACGACCCACAAGCTCTCTTTTTGGATATGGGACGGCTGTTCAGCCAGTTGTATCACTATAACTTGCTCAATCAGCTCCATCTGCCTTACATGCTTCGTTCATCACCTGAACGGAAGTATGAATATTCCAGAATGACGTGCGTGAACGCCTCAAGGGAGGTTCTCTTGCGATTTATCATGTTTCGTGGCCACAACAGGAATAATTCCTGCTGTCGGACAGTTGACTTTTTTGCCCTCATGGCCGCCATTACACTACTTCTGGGGCATCTCGACAGCCACCGTTTTACACAGACCAGCAATCTCTTAGCGCACCAATATCTTAGTGATCGTGCCATGATAGAGCAGGCGCAGGTCAATATGGAACAAATCACCCGTGTTAACGGAGATACCTTAAGTGCGCAAAGTGCGGACTTATTGCATAAGTTGCTGGCCATCGATTCCGAAGCAGCAGATGGCGTCAGTACGGAGAGTGTCAGCGTTCAGACACCAGAAAGTGCAATGTTGCAGTCAAGCGAAATCGACAATGGCGTTGTTCGGGTGCAAATACCTTACTTTGGCATCGTCAGGATTGCCCGTCACGGCGTTCTTTCCAGGGGAATGGCCACCGCACAACCTCCGGTGATAGGTATGTATAACACCGACGGCTCTTCTGCTGCAGTGTGTGATATTGGCTCTGGTCGCTTGGATGGAAATGAATTTCCTAAGTCAATGACCGAAGCGGATTGCAACTCTATCGATAGTGTTAATAGTCCGCCTGCGCAGCTCACATCGCGATATCAGGATACCGTTTCTGACGCCCTCCTGCAGAACTATCAGGATCCTGGGCTAACCGCCGGGGTGGATGACTGGGCATTCCAGGGTGTTGATATGGCTTTCTTTGACAGCATAATGAGAGGCCTCGATAACGGAAATAGTTCAGAAACCTGGGATAATGGCCCTTAATCTTAAAGATATAGCAGTGTCTTATTGATTCTTAGAATGAGTTTCGATTTGCTTCCCATATATTTACCACAAAGAAGGATGACATATATGATCTCCCATGGTTTGCCAAACTGTGTCTCTTTTCAATCCTCCAGTCCTCCTTTACGTACCAGTGCAGTCCAATGTTGCGTTTCTAATCATCCAATGGTGCGGCTATTGAACCATTATGTCTAACCTTAGACATAGCTCACAGTAACACTGTTGCTAGTAGCAGATGACTTGGTCAAAATGTTGCCGCTCTGTCTGATATCCATGATAGTAGATCCTGATGGGCCAACAGTCTGGCCACCGGATGTGGCCTCTGCCTTGCTGAATGTCACAGTTCCGAAGTTGGTGAAGGGAACCAACTCGCCACCGCTCTCAAAGTCCTCGACAATCCATTCGGCGTTGGTCTCGCAGAGATCCCCATCGTCAACACCGCTGAATTTGTGGTTGACAGACTTGCCTGAGGTGACGTTCTCGATGACGGCAGAACCGGAGGTCTTGGAGGTGGCGGTTACAGTAAGCTTGATCACATCTCCAGCGGAGATCGGGATCCCGGAGAAGTCGTGGGCATAATCCGGGTACCACTCGTACCAGGACTCGAAGGAAACCTCGCCTCCTTGGATACAGAAATCGATTCCAGTCTGGAGAATGGCGCTGCTGCAGGTATCGCCGTCAATACCGACCCAGGCAGAGGCACAGGACTTCTCGCCAGACGAAGAACCCGAGGGAAGCTTCGGTGTGGGGACGGTGAACTCTCCGCTGACCGAAGTGTATTGGCTACCAATAAGGACTGCACCGGCCCAGTTTGAGCTGTACTTCTCCTGGGTTGTCGCATTCACGTTGAGAAGCTCCTTGGTGTCTGGCTTGTAAGCCGGACGGCTGATACGGTCAGCTCGGGCCGCAGTGCGGGCAGCTTTGCGAGCTGCGCGACGCTCGGTGAGAGGAGCGGCAATGGCCGAAGTGGTGAGCAACGCGGCGCTGAGGATGGCAGCAGACAACTTCATGGTGCAGGTTGGATGATTAATCTGTTTGGTGGAAAGAAGTGGAGGTTGCTTGGCCGTGTGGATAACAAGATAATCGCAGGGAAGGGGCCGTTTATATAGCTTCCGTGTCTGGTTGTCGCTTCGTTGAGAAGTATATGTTATAAAAGATTATAATTCCCAAGTACTCAAGTAAATGCTCATTCAATACGTCTCCCTCAATGTAACATCGCCTCATATCTCCTGATACCGTCGGAGACCGATGGACAACCCCAAGATGGACAGTAGCCTCAAGAATTTCACTTGATCCGTGCAATTGCTCCTATTTCATGCATCAGGTCCACGCATAATCAGCAAACACTAGGGTATGAGTCCAATGGAATTATGTATTTCCCATGTACGCTAAAACGATACAAGCTCTAGTCCTCCGGATGCCCGACGGAGACTAGATATTTTGATATAAATTAACAAGCATCGTGGAATGACGGAATGATAACCCCGGACTAATGGGGAAGTGATCGCTCTCTTCAGGGCGCGTCGGTGATAGTTATTAGTACAAAGTAAGCAGTAGTAACTTGATGTGGCTGTGGCTTGGAAGCTAATATAGCCTTGTCGCCTTAGCCATTAGCCTGTTAGTGACAAGAGTGCCAAGCTTGCAACAAGCAATGATGCCCAGGAGAAAAGGTGGGAGAGATGTATAAATGTGCACTTGGGGATGATTTTCATACAACTAATTAAATACCCAGGGATTATGTATACACAGAGTGACGCCGTTAAGAATTGTGTGCCTGGTTATGAGGTATCGGGGGTATCATATTAAAAGACGACTGGGACACAGGAACAAGACCATATTTCCCATTCAGTCCAGGTGAGGAGAAACGGGACCCCTGCATCGGAGTTCCTTCGTGCATATTCGTGCAGACTTCGCGTATAGACAACCTAGTCCACGCTAACTTCATTTGATAATAATTTCCGAATCGAACACGAGGTCATTGGATAGTGATGCCGCAATTCCTCCCTAACAAATCATATGACGTGAGATAAATTGTGCCTCAGATGAAGAGTCCGGCACAATCCCCTCATGTCCCGGGTCCTCAAGCCACACAGCTCTTGAACTTTAACATACGATTCCAATCAGCTTGCAATAGTTGATAACCTGGATTTCCGAGTCTTATCGGATAGATGCGATTTGCTGCAACTTGTCTCATAGATCATAGTTAGGCCCACTTTTGGGATATTATTGCTGGCGTATTCGCAGATGTATCTCGGTTCTTCTATACTCAGCCCTGTTCCCGTGCATGTTTTGGCAACTGTCATTCGTATCCTCTTTTATTTCTCTCTTCGGTTGCTTTTCTTTCAACTTCTCTTGCCTTATCGTAGTAACTACTCTGTATAAGGCATGTCACAATTGAACAGGTTGTCAGTACAAGGAACCCTGTATCCCGATATTTAAGTCCCCCGGGGATAACTATGCCACCAAAGGAAATAGCCTCATGGACTGTCGCATGACATGGGAGAGTTGAAAGCGGTTTTTGCCTCTGGTTTTAGAATAGAAAATATGTGACTTCATCAGCATTATTGGGCACCGTTTGGGGATATAGTCTCAATAGTGCGGACAGAGGCGCGGGCGCCAATGAGTCTATTCACTTCTGAACACACTCTTTGTCCTTGACTCTCTCTGGAATATCTCTCGGGCTTTCTTTCAGCTCTACCCAGGATCTGGGCTCTTTTATTTTGCCTTTTTGCCTTTTTTTTTTTCCTTTTAGATATGCATCTACACATTGCCTAGCCAAGACATAGGTGGAGTTTCTTGAGCCTTTTCCTTATATGCAACTTTCCACGCATCGTTCTTGCTTAAGAATTACCTCTTGATTCTAGCCCTTCCAACCCCTCTCCATCTTGGACCTTGTGTGTGAGGTAACAAAGGAAGAGGATGGTATGGGTGATATCGTTCTTTGTTGAAAATTAATAGTTTACTCTTGCTGGTCGATAGATATGACAGGATAGAACCTTGTAGGGTTCCTGGGGTCTGTAGTTGAACAATGAACTGAACTCGATGGTTATGTTTCATGTTCATGTTCCGACAGTGTTCATCTGGCAAACTAGGCAATCTCAAAAGAAAAAGAATGTCCACAGAGTACTCAACTATTTATAAAGGATGGGCCGATCTCCTCGATAGAGAGTTATGTTCAAGGGTATTCTCAATGCAATGAATTCCATTCATATCCTCCTCTCTCTGTTACTTGTTCACATAGCAACAGCCCAATCCTGGCACGGCTTTGGCGACTCCCATGACCATTCACACAACAAGCGCAGTCCACCTGCGCCGGGTGGCGATGGTGTCTGCTACACCCACATCGTTCAGGAGAACGATACATGCGCAAAACTTTCTAAGCACTACCAGATCACTACCAGCAATATCGAGACTTGGAATCTCGGATCCTGGGACTGGCCAGGTTGTGCCAAATTGAAGCAAGGCAATTTTATCTGTCTCAGCTCCGGTGCCCTTCCGATGCCAGTTGCTCTCCCGCATGCTGTCTGCGGTCCCCAAGTTCCTGGAACACGACGCCCTGCCAAATATAGCAATCTCGCCTCTCTAAATCCATGCCCTTCAAACCAATGTGTCAGTGTTATAGTTGTCCGCATTGCCATCTGGTTAACACCTACTAACTACATCTACAGTGTTCTAAGTTAGGACAATGTGGTACTAAATCTGACTTTTGTGATGCAAGCACCAGTTGTATCTTTAACTGTGGACCGAAGAGTACACAAAACAAAGCCACAACCAAAAGTACTATGTCAAAGACTACTGCCGCAAAAGCGAATACTTCGAAAACAACTACTTCAAAGACTACTACTTCAAGGACTACTACTTCAAAGGCTAATACTTCAAAGGCGACTACCTCCAAAACGACTACTACCTCCAAAGCTACTACTACTTTAAAAGCTACCACGAAAGATGTCATGGTAACCTTGACTAGCATAAAATTAGTCCAAGCTCCAAGCAAAACCACGACCAGTGCCGCTTCGACTCAAACTTGGCAAATGTCGTTCTATTCGAAAGATAAGTGTGAAGGTGATTACTTCACTGTTCAGGGGCATGAAGACCAACATTCTGCCCGCTGCATTGTTCTCGCGGACGATACCAACACCAAAATCTCAGACAGTACTACATCCTGCCGATGGTGGTCTGATGAGGGTCTCAACTGGGGCACCTGTTCCTCCGGTAAACTCAAGAAACCCAAATCATGGTTTATCAAAAGTGGCAAGTGTTCCATGTTTTCGGGGAAGAAATGCGAGGACGCCGACTGGGTAGGAGAGACCTATGCGCCTTTTAAGGGCTGTCAGTCTGGCAATACTGGATTTATGTCTCCTGCGAAAGGTAAGACCTGGGGTGCAGTGCAGTGTTATGAAATGAAGTCGTGAGTAGTGCTTAACTTAATGGGTTTATGTTGTTAGGTGACTAGCTGTGGTATGTAACCTGGAGAGCTTTCCAAGTCAATAAATATATATAATCAAGTGTGTCTGACCCAATTCGTTTCCACACCCCGTAGCACGCCTAGGTTGGAATCAAAGGTTGTAACAATTGAAAAGAGAGAAGCGCATTAAAAATATTGAGATTCTAAAGAAATGCTGGTTATAAAAATCGAATTCATCTTGTCTTTGTCTCAGCAAGAGAACTTTTGGTTACGCCTTGGCTCATATAAAATTAATAAATTCAGATTTCTATCAACCAGCCAAGTGGTCGAGCAGTAACTCAACCATCACATCTTCCTTGGTCTAGTGGTGATGATTTCCGCTTGTCATTAAAACCGATAAGCGCGGGAGACCGGGGTTCGATTCCCCGAGGGAGAGATTTCTTTTTTTGCTTTTTCTTTTTTTCTTGGTCAATTAATACTAGGAATTCTTTTTGTCCTTTCATTTAATAAATAGCTAATGCCATAGCTGCGATTCATGATGCCTAATTACAAGCCAGATTTAATGTAACTATAACTACAAACAACATTGTATAGTTACTCACATGTTTTTCCTATCTAGAAAGACTACTGATACGAAAAAGAAAAAGGAAAAGGAAAGGGACAGACAAAAAGTGCAGAGACTGAATTCATGTAGAGATTCTGAGATGATATACGGTCATGCTGAGTAGGTGTTCCTGCCATCACTGGCATCATTTATATTGGGGTCCTTTCCCTGTTTCCCCAAACAGATCGCTCATCTCTGAACCTAAGAACACTTCCCATCTCAGCACCTTTTTTTTCATGTCATTATTTTTTCATGCCCCAAAACAAACTCTGAACATTCTTACTCGGATGTCCCTCCCCTAGGTAAAGCCCCGAGTACATCTCAAAGTAACCAGCCACTATGGCGTTCTGGGTGGACTGGGAGCTATGGGAGAAGCTGAGCGTGGTAAGTATGCAAATGATGATCATGGATATCTCCTACTGACTACTGTCGTTGACAGATACTAGCCATGCTGATCGTACGTAACTCGATGGTAACGCCGCAAAGACAAAACTGACAAGCTTTGCAGGCCCTAGTGCTCCTTTACGCTTTTTGCGTCCTCGGCTGGAATCGTTGGATGATCAGCAAATACGCCGCGACAGAGGCAAAAGAACGAGAGGCGGAAGCTGAGGTGTACCCAATGCTGCATAAGGATGACATCCCTTTCGGCGCCAGAGCTTTGGAAAGAGGAGTAGAAGTTGAAGGGATCTGGGTTTCAGATCCCAACACGCCCACGCAAAGTCCCTGCCAGCCTGCAACTCCAGTTCCAAGTCGGCCGACCAGTCCAGCGCCAAAGTCGTTACATAGAGAGGTTGATAACCCAAAGTCATCGGCAGGATCTCAGAGTCCTATGATCAACCCGAAGCCTATGCCACCGGCTGCCCGACGTGAAGTCGTCTCCGATATCGACATAGCCTCCGCAGGCTTCGTCTACGAGAACCATAGATCCGCTGGGCGCCATAGTCGAGCTAGTCTGCCCATCGATCCAAGTGCCATGCGCATATCACCCGCACGGGAGGAATCACTGATCGGCTTGAGGGAGACACCAGGCAGGGAAAAGCGTGTTAGTTTCCACACGCAGATATCCAATATACCCCCAATCCAGACACGACGGACCACCGAGTAGGATTGGACGGCACTGATGAGGACATAGACTCTGTCCCGGCTATGAGTGAGTCATTTTCTGGTCCTTCATCGGAGGGCAAGCGAAGCTCACGATCCATGAGTAAGTCGAATTTTGCCACGATGTAGGGATTCAACAGGGAAACTAACGTGGCTCATTCATAGAACTTCTCCGCCGGCGATCATCTGAAGAGTTCCGACGCAGGATGAGCCAGATCTTCAACGACAATGTCCAGATTGGGCCCCCAGCCGAGGAGCTGGAGTTCAATCCGGATCTACACCAGTACCAGGGACGGTTCCGGAAGTCGCTGCTTCGTCCTTTTCGTCCGTGGACCAATCCTCCTGAAAATCAACAGTAGGGAGACGTGGTTCACGAAAGGTCGTTGTCTCGTGAGGAAACTGAATTTATCCGAACAAACACCTTGCAAGACCTTCGACAGATGCTTTTGCTCGGACATTTAGCATTGATTTGGATATGGCGCTAGCTGGGCAGTGTTCCAGCACTAGTTTTATGACTCAAAAGAACTTCGAGAGAATATGTTTTGATCGACAGGTGGGGTTTCAGCATGGAGTTTAGTGCAGGGCAGGATTTGTATTCTTATACCTTTTATTGCATATTGAACCAATGGCATCCAACCCACCAGGGTATACAGTAATTGATCCACCCCAATGAAGTACCTTGCCACTTAATTGTAAGGTAGCATAAGAAAAACAAAGCATAGATCCATACGCTTCAACACATTTGAAAGAGAAACAGTATTCTCCAAAACCGGAAAGGCTCCAGGCAGCACCCCACGTGATCTCGCGATCCATTAGACGCGTCCGATTTGTTGACTCGGAGTCATCCTGACCTTTTTTGTCACAAACAAACGCTTCAGACTTTTCAGGCCTTCGCACAACCAGAGACTGCTTGTTTGTTGACTGATTGATTGATATTCCTGGTTCTGTTCGGTATTCAAATCGAGGAGAGCGAGTACCCATCTCACCCAACGCGTCTTTTTTAGTGGATCCATCATCCGTGCTTGCGAGTCAAGAGACCCTGCTAAAGAGGCATCAAGATCCCGGTAACATTCAGAAACGAGGCATAGTACTGCTAGTATGGAGGGAGAGGAGCAATTCGAAGATAATGGGCTTCCTGGCCCTGGTGCCCCAACCCCGCTTTCCGCGCTCGACGTAAGTGAATGCCACGACAATATACTTTTGCTGCAGAATGTTGGACTTTTATGCTAACTTCGTTGTGATAGGGTGTTTCTGGCTTGACTGCTAGGGACATTAAGTTGTTCGTGGATGCAGGGTATAACACTGTCGAGTCTGTTGCCTACACGTACGTCCATGATCTTCACGTTCATTGCGGCTTTTTGTTACCTAGTGCAAGCTCTGCTATATTCATTGCTATGTTCATCTCAATGCTAACAACGACTGTGTCTTTTAGGCCCAAGCGGTTGTTGGAACAGATCAAGGGTATCTCGGAACAAAAGGCCACCAAGATCCTAGTAGAAGGTAAGTCCTCATCTGCGATATAATACAGCTCTCACATTGGAGATCGGTTTCCTAACGAGAACGTCCTGATTAGCCTCAAAACTGGTGCCCATGGGGTTCACAACGGCAACCGAAATGCATGCCCGAAGAAGCGAGCTCATCTCGATCACAACGGGATCCAAGCGACTGGACACATTACTCGGAGGTGGTGTTGAAACGGGATCGATCACGGAGATTTTCGGAGAGTTTAGAACGGGAAAGAGTCAGATTTGTCATACTCTCGCGGTGACCTGTCAGCTCCCTTTTGATATGGGCGGCGGTGAGGGCAAGTGTCTTTACATCGATACAGAGGGAACTTTCCGTCCAGTGCGACTGCTTGCAGTCGCGCAGCGATACGGTCTTGTTGGAGAGGAGGTCCTCGATAATGTGGCATATGCACGAGCATACAACTCAGATCATCAGCTTCAGCTGCTTAACCAGGCCTCCCAGATGATGTGTGAGACGCGATTCTCTCTCTTGGTGGTTGACTCGGCAACATCTCTATACCGGACAGATTTCAACGGTCGTGGTGAGCTCGCCTCACGGCAGACCCATTTGGCTAGGTTCATGCGTACATTGCAACGCCTTGCGGATGAATTTGGCATTGCAGTCGTGATCACAAACCAGGTCGTTGCCCAAGTTGATGGTGGGCCCAGTGCCATGTTTAACCCGGATCCCAAGAAACCTATTGGTGGTAATATCATTGCTCATGCCAGTACCACTCGTCTCAGTTTGAAGAAGGGCCGTGGTGAGACTCGAATTTGCAAGATTTATGATAGCCCTTGTCTTCCAGAGAGCGATTGCCTTTTCGCCATCAATGATAATGGTATTGGTGATCCTAGTGAAAAGGACTTGGAGGATAAGTGAGCCAACTTTACTCTCAAGTTTGTGGTTATTTGATTCTCCGACACGATGTTATTGACTTGATGAGCATTACATTCAATAGCTGTTTATGTGGTTAGAGCGCCCCATGGCATCTCAGCATTGGGGAGGGTTCTTTTTATTTTGTTCTTTTTTTTTTTTTTTGATAGTGATAGTAGCGCAGTTAGAAAGCAATAATCTCTTGTTTATTCCTAATTTTTGAAAGATCAGTAATAATATAAGCATGGGAATGTATGATCCAAGTTTTAAGAGTAAACGAAGGCGGCAATCTCAGGCCTTTTACCGCGCCAAGACTTCCCATGTTTTTTGAGAGCTCCAGCTTCCCGCCCTTCGATCTTCCAACCTTTCTACTTCCCCGGCCATGGAGTGCTAAGTTGACACAACGTCAATCGATCATGGCGAAAATTTACAAAGACTCAAGGGTCGACCTTCGGCCCTATTCGCCGACCACAGTCGCCAACATCCAAATTCCGACTCAAGAGACCGCGATCCGTCGTCCACGCTTTTCGATCTCATCCTCCGACCAGGAACTCCCAATCGCCAAAGATGAAGATGAATTCGCCAGACGTCACCTCGCGACACAGGGTGAGATTTACTTCCGGAAGCGCAGGGTCTACCCGAGGACATTCATGTGGAGGGTCATCAACGACAACAAAGTGCTGGAGATCCAGTGCGCAGACCTGACGAAGGGTGGGATGGAAGTTTATGAATACAATGTGACCCTGCGACTGGATTTCCAGGAGCAGATTCTCCCCTTTGGTATTGAATTGTCCGACTCGGAGGATCACGAACTCATCAATGTCTTTGTGATCACCGAATCCAAGCACCTTCACACCCTATCTCTACGCCCCGAGTTCTTCCGCCGGACATCGTCAATCGATGAAAATGTGAGGGATTGGTGCAAGACATGCCTCCCCGCCCCCTTGGCCTTTTCGAACCCCCACCGACTACATGCGAGCAGTCCCCTGGAGCTATTCATCTCTCTCGATAATGGCGCGCTCCTGCGACTGACCCGGAGAGCTGGCGACGATGGTGAGTGGTTTTTCTCAGTCTTGCTACTCTTGCGACACTCATTTTTATTAATGGTTTCTGAAATTAGGTTCTCACTGGTCTCCACTCACTTTTGACGAACGAACCTGGGGCTCCTCGATTCGAGGCCTCGTCAAATGGAACGTACCGTCCTCGATCAAGCACGACGGACGCAACCTCGATTTGAATGTCGCCAATGCCATTGCCACTACCTCCGACGAGACATATGTCTTCGCGATTTGTTTGAACCACACTCTTAAGATTTGGAACCTCGCGACGAACAAGCTAGCGGCCACAAAGGATCTCCTGGGACGCTCGCTTCAGGATCCGGATCTTGCACCTTACACGTTGAACCCCGCCGAAACATCATTCATGCGTGTCTTCAACGCCGAACGGGCTATGGATGGTGGACATCGCTTCTATGTCGTCACATATTCGCCATTTGAGGACGGCAAGTTCAAGTTCTGGGCTGTCAAAGGTGGCTTGACATCCGAACTCATTATTGAGGAACTCTTCCCAGATGATGTCTTCCGACCCGTCGACCCAGATGCCACGGGTAACATGTTCTGGAACATCGCTGATTTCCAAGTCAAATCTCGAGAAGAGGGCAAGGGGATGGAGTTGTGGGTGCTCTGGAGAAACCACGGTCTTTACCAACTCTACACCCTCCATTTCAACCTCCAAACTCTAGTCACGGATTGGGCCTCCAACTGGGTCTCGACAACATTTGAAACCCATCGACAAGAACCGCCACCACCTCTGGTTGTGGATGATATGGTGGACCCCACTGAAAAGTGGCTACAGTATCTCCTCCAGCCGAATAGATATCTACCGGAAGTCCTTGAGACTGCTCTGGCCGTTTACCAGGAGGCCGTCAAGCCACTTTCGTCGACTTCAGCTGGAGGGCTGAAAAAGAGCTTGCCTTTGGCGGAACGACTCTGCTCGACAATAGCAGCGGCAGTCTCTCTTCGGAAATTTGCCGACGAGGAGATGGACTACTCCCGGTATACTTCAGATACGGATTCAAAGTGGCGTCAGTTCTGGCAAGTTGCGGAAGACCTTAACAAACGCCGGTTCGAACCAGTTTCTCTGGCCTACGACTCATTCACAGATATGCCATGGCTCCTTCTGTCAGACTCCTGCGCTGTGGTGCGGGAATGCAGCATTACTGAATTGTTCCTGCACAATTCCAGCTCGGAACTCAGCGACGGAGTGCCGAAGATGGTGGACCGTTGGAGGCACCGCAATGTTTCGAGAGAGCTGGGCCCGAATTTCCAAACAGCCTCTGGATTGTTGAAAGTGGCATCCGATTTCCGCAAAAGATTCACCCCAGAGCTTGACGGTGCTTGTCGAGCTGCTCTTCAGGCCGAAATCTTTTCCGAGCCTTCTTCATCGATCTTGGACCGCATGGAGAATTTCCGAGAGCGCTGTGACTTTGTCAATCAAATCTCCAACAAATCCTTTGACACCCTAGACGCGGCTTTGAGTGAACATATGAGAACTGATTGCTTGTCCATGGATGCGTTCCTTGCCATTATCCAGACCGCCTCGCTTCACTTCTGTGGAGAAGACTCGGAACTTTCTTCAACCTGTTTTGGCGCCCGAGTTCTTGTCAGTGGTGCGCAGGAGACCATTTCTATCTCTCGTCAAATCTTTTTCGATCTACTCATCCTAGTCACATTCGTGGATGGCGAATGGGAACAAACAAGCAAGTCCGACTTCGATGCGTCCGACCTTTTCTCAATGCTTATTGATCTCCTTCGTGAATATGAGATGATGGCCTGGCTCAGCTCGAATGTCCGCAAATGCCCCGACCGTGCGAACAAGTCCCGTGTTGATTCACTACAGAGATATTCATCGAAAGACAGCTCCAAGGCCAATGGCCAACGAACTGCAAGTATCCTGGAGGATCTGTTTGTTACCGATATCAAGCCCCAGCAAGCGATTGATTCCCCACAAAGCTACACCTTGACTTTGGGGATCAGGGATGTCGTGGCCTGGATTACCCGCGAAGGTGAGGTGAACTATCAAAACGCGGTCGCCCACATCCAGTGTGACCTGATCGCCAAAAACAACATCGATCTTGCATGGGATTTCCTTCGTTTCCAGGCAAGTACTTCCTGGTCAACCTATGTCAAGGGTCGTTTGCATGTGGCTATGTCGGAATTCGATGCCGCAGCAATCTACTTCCGGAAGGCAGCTTATTTGCTTTGTATGTATCTATCCGTGAATTTCGCCTGTTGTTGTAACCCAGCTAACCCCAAATGCAGCTTGCGGCAAGCCAATGGGCAATCTTTCCGACATGTCAGCAGAGCTTTTAGACCTCCTCGATGTTGACTGCTTCCACAACGGTCTTGCCAAGTACTACCAGCACATTCTTTCAATTTTTGAAAAAGTGCGCTCATACTCCCATGTCGCGGACTTTGCCAGCCTGGCGCTGCAGGCCCTCGACTCTGAAGTTTGGGCTGAGCAAGACTCCGAATACCCGACCATACGCGACGATCTGCTGTCTCGTCTGTTTACTGGCGCCCTCAAGACTTGCCAGTTTGACCAGGCATACTCCGCTCTGGCTAGGTTGCAGGATCTCAAATTACAAAGAACCGAGCTTTCCGAACTCATCTCCACCATCCTGGCAGTCTCCGGACCAGGCACAGCTGGTCTCAAGCAGATTCTTCGTTTCCCCACTTCACTCGTGCCCAACATCGCGTCTTTCATCGACGAGATTCTCGTTCACCTGACCCGTAAACAGACCACCAATGTATCCTGGTTGGATGCGGACAACAAAATTTTCCCAGCCACCCCCGACTACACCCGCATTCTCCAAGCCTATCGCATTGCCCGCAGTGACTACCGCGGCGCCGCGGAAGTCGCCTACCGCAACGTCCAGCGCCTCCGCAAAGCACGAGATGTGCCGTCATCAGCCCTCGCTCTCAAAGGCAGGGAAGCGGACGATGCAGTCCGGTCACCAGTTGAGGAAGACGATGCCGAAAGCAAGGAAATCCGCCAGGAGTTGTTGTCACTAATCAACCTCCTCGCGTGTGTCGACAAAAGCGAGGCATACATCCTCGTCGAGAACGGACCTCCCATCAGCGCCGCTCCGATTTCTCCCCATGAAAGACGCCCAAGCACACAAGCCGACGAAGACGGAAATGTTTCTATGGAGGATGTCGACCCGACCTCCCCCACGCCACTCGGAGGCAAGCGCCGATCATCCAATGCCGTGGCATTCGCACCCGTCCACCGCAGAGGAAGCAGCAAATCTTCCGCCATCGAACGGCGTAACAGCGTCGTGTCCTTTGAAGTCCCTGCCACCAACCAGTTGCTTAAACGTCGTATCATCGTCACTTTCGAGCATCTGCGTCGCGAATTCCAGTCTGAGCTTGACCGTGTCAGCCGGATTGAGCGTGGGGACTGGGAGTTTGGTCTTGACGAAGAGAAGGATGTGGATAATGATGAAACGATGGTTCTGTAGCTGGTCCTCCGCGAGGGAATTATCTATGACTTTGCATTTTGGCCCTGGGGGTGCCACGGCCTCCGTTGAATTTAATCTTCTTTTGTTCCAATGTATGGTACTTGACATGGGGGTTTTCATTTCTTTATTGTTAGGGTAGTCCATAATCGGATTGGGGTGCAAAATAGGATTTGCTTTTTTTTTCATTTCATTCTAATATCGGTCGGATTAATGGGATATTATGGGTTTACTTTCGGGGAGTTGATCTCAGAACATGTTTGGTTTTACCATGACTATTAGGGCTATCAATTTTGAGTGCGAACTAGAAGTCCTACCAGGGAAGATGTACCTTGAATGTCAAGTGAGAGATAATCTCACCCCAAACCAAAGAAACCACTCCCAATAACTGGCATTATCCAATGTACTTAAAGTCCTATTGTAATCTTCTGCACACCTAAAACAGCAGGCGGGAGTCGGAATTCAGGGAGAAAGTCCCCAGAATCAC